TTTATTGGGTTTAATTATAAATAGCTGATTTTTTTTTTATCAGAAGCCCTTTCAGCATCTGTCAAAATGATCTAGTGTGTGCCCTTTCCCTTGTACTCATTTATACAATGAATTACAACATGAATATTAGGCTTTTTAGTAGTAACCCTTTTTGTATTCCTGGAATTAATCACATTTGGCCGTAGTATATTCTTGTTTTACTGTAGTAAATTCTCTTGTTGATAATATTTTATGTACAGTTTTTGCATCAACACTAGTAAGATTTGTCTTAGTTTTCTTTTGGAGGGATATCTTTTATCAGGTTTTAGCATTCCTGTAGTTACCTTGGCTTTATAAGAAGTAATCTAAATGCTTTCTTTTTCCCCCTATGCTCTAAACAACTTAAATAAATTAGAATTCCTGTGTGGTTTTTTTAAAATATATATATAGATTTGAAATACCTCCTTTAACACACACCTTTTATTTGCCTTTATTATTATTATTAGAGGGTAATTTTCTCTAATTCTTTTATAGTTAGAGTCTATTAGGTTTTCTTCTTCCCTCTACTTGACCCAATTTTATTTATTTACATCACCCTTAAAAAAAAATTCAGGTTTTCAAATATCTAAGACATAGATATAGCCACATCTAAAACTTAAATAATGAAAGTAAAATGATGAGAAAAGACAAATCAGAGATATGCAAACAAGAAGAAAACAAGAGTTTGATTTAGGGGCATAAGCTCAACTGAATGCAAAGGGAAAAAAAATCACACAACTTGGTAGACAGAGTGACCTCACAATAAAAAGGGGCTAGGGCTTCCCTGGTGGCGCAGTGGTTGAGAGTCCGCCTGCCAATGCAGGGGACACGGGTTCGTACCCCGGTCCGAGAAGATCCCACATGCCGCGGAGCGGCTGGGCCTGTGAGCCATGGCCGCTGAGCCTGCGCGTCCGGAGCCTGTGCTCTGCAATGGGAGAGGCCACAACAGTGAGAGGCCCGCGTTAAGGGGCTAATACATTCCTTAAGTCCTTGAATCCTAAATAATATCCTTCATTTCCCCTTATTTAAGCACAACTTGGCTAGTTAGGAAATGCTTTAGATACATTCTTTTTGTCCATCAGAACTCTCTAGTTGTTGAATCATTAATTTTGGAAATCTTTTGTGGTTGAAAAGAAATAAGTCAGTCTCATTATCTTTCCATTGTACATGATCTACCTTTTTTTTTTCCCTTGATGTTTATGAAATCACTTCTGTAATCTCTGAAAATTCAGTAAATTCCATCACAATATTTTCCTAAAACATGAGCCCTTTTAATCTCCAGATTCATGTTTTCATTCGTTCTAAGCAAGTTTACTATTATTTTTTTAAATGTTTTCCATTTCCCATTATTCTGTTGTCTTCTCCACAGAAACTAATCATGGCTTTTCACTATCTGCAATTCTCTCTAACTGCCTTCATTTCTTCGCCCACTGTATCTACATTCTATGCAGTTTCCTCAAGTTCAACAGAACCGTTCCTGGTTACATTTTCAATATTGTTTACTCTGCTCCTTGCTGTTTATAATAAATTACTTTCTATAATGCAAATATGTTCCTGCTCTTCTTTATCCTTAGTTCTGCCATTTCTCTTTTTATGTTATCTTATTTTTGTTCTTTTTTCCCAGATGTCATTGGCTGTTTAATTTTCTTGGCAGTTTAGAACAGCTGTCTAAAATTTTCTTGTTTCCTAGAAAAATACAATTCTTCCAAAGTGCTGATCAGCTATCTTTTGAATGTTAAATTATCCCCATAGGATTCATGTTTGTTAATTTATTTGTATTCTGTTAATTCATCTTCGAATAAGAGAAATTCTCTCTGGCTCCACCATTTAAACAAAAATGTAGATAGTGTCTCCCTGAGGACTGAACATTGGGCACTTGTTTTAAAAGATTAACATCAGAACTCTCAACTCAAACTACACTTGCTAAATTAGTTGGATAAACAGCATGGAGGAAGAAGTTGGGACTAAAGGTATCAAGTCCTTTTTTTCTGTGTAATTTCTAAGTCTGCTTAAGCTCCCCCAATTGAGAACCAGCTCCACTTGGACTATGACCACACCTTATGCTGTAGGGGACTCTCAGTTTTGGCACATCTGCCTACTTTGGGATGAGCCAGATTCCTGAGAGACTTACTGAGTCATAATGGAACCCATAATTCACCATCATTTTAGTTTAGTGGGTCAGCACATAATTTTTTCTGTTCCTGTAAAGTTGGTGAGACGTTTGCTTCACAATTCTACTCTAAGCCTTACCTCACCTGTAAGCTTTGCTCCTCCTGTTAAGCCCAGAGAAAAATGGTATGACCGCAAAGTCTCTCCTTTAGCTCTATTCCAGCTGAAATTAGATTTTCCCTATTTCTCTCAACGCTGCCCATATCTCAAACTCCTCCCTCTAAAATGAGCAAATGAAAAAACACTTATTATACATTCCCTTAAACATCTGATTCAGGGATACATTTATCAACTGTCAATGTTTTCACACTCAATTCAGTCTAAATGGCTTATCTAGCACCAATTCTGTCCAGCTTGTGGTAGCTTCTACTTAGATACATTTTTCTTTTAAATTATTTTAGGGAATTCAAGGGAAGATAATTTAATAAACATTCATTTAACTCTATCGTTTTTCCTCAACATCAACTCACCCAATTTAATAATTTAAAATATAAAATCTGCAAACATATTTTATCTCCTGGAAGACATATACTATGAATTACTTCATCGAGAACAGTGTGTACACACAGTAGGTATTCAATATCAGCTGAATTAATTCTCCTCATGAGACATATCTGAAATATACTCAGCATATATATCAAATAACTCTAAGTACTTCAGTTCCATATTAAAGCAGAGTATGTTTTAAAATGCCCTCGTGTGTTCTAAAATGTCCACCTTTCAACCTTGCTCTCGTAGTTCTCCTACAAATATATCAAACGATGTTTCTTTAAAATATAAAGGGTACTAGGAAAGACAGTTTAGAATGAAAAGTAAAACCTCCATTGAATAAATCAAACTAAAACTTGTTTAAAGCTCCAATTAAGAAAGGAACTGTGCCATAATGGATATGGTACCATAAGCACTGCAAACAAACAGGCCTATATTCAAATCTTCACTCTGCTATTTGCTAGCTATGTGACCTAGAACCATTTACCTCAAGTAAACATTAGACTCCCCATTTGGAAGATTAGGATAATTCCTACAAATCACACTGAAGTGTTACAAGGTTTAAATGAGATAATACAATAAGTGGGCATTCAGTATATGGTAGAGTTATATACAGTTTATACATATAGTGTGTGTGTATACATATATCTCCAAATTCTGATCTCTGATCTGGATAGGAGAGTCGCAGCTCCATTCCAAAGGGAAATTTATGTTCTAGGCTCCCTTAAAAATTAAGAAGCCAGTTCTAAACAATAAAGTTTCTTACCCTTGCCAAAAAGTATACTGTTACAAAATTATTTTATGTTTCAATTATCACTTAAATAATGCTTTTGTCCTATATATCAATAGTTTCTAGAATTAAGTTCATGAAAATAGAAAGTAATAACAGAAAGTATACCTGAGCCTCTAAAAGCTAGCTTTGTCCAAGTCTCTTTCTAAAGAAAAGAGCCGCAGGCAATTCTTCAACATGAAGAAGCACAGTACCCCAACCACAACTAACTAGACCAAAAGTAACGAGCTGGAAGTAAAACCAACCACCAGTGACTATGGCAATATCAAGACCAACTATCAGCTATGCTCTCCAGGAACAGAGAGGAGAGATGCATACAGAGAAGCAGGGATTCATAAAGAATGAAGACTTATTCTTTTTGAGCTATTAGAGAATTTGAGCTATTAGAGAATCTTGAACAATAATCAACCACTATTAGAGATCACCAGGATAAGAGCACAATTTCCAATTCTTGGAAATACTAGAACACACAAACACACACACATAACACACTGCTGTTAGGATGCTTATACCATGCTTCTCTGTTTCCCTGTGCCAAATAAAGCAATACTTCTGAAAATTTTCGAGTCAATACTCATATCACAGAAGAAAGTAAAGAGTGCTATGAACAATCCTGCTGAAATGCCTTTGGAATTTCCCATTGGATCTTAAATTTTCATGAATTACTTATCCTGTGCGATAATATGCCAAGGAACTGTTTTACTGTAAAACTGTTTTCATTAAAATCTTTAAGCGCGGGCTTCCCTGGTGGCGCAGTGGTTGAGAGTCCGCCTGCTGATGCAGGGGACACAGGTTCACGCCCCGGTCCGGGAAGATCCCACATGCCGCAGAGCGGCTAGGCCCGTGAACCATGGCCGCTGAGCCTGCGCGTCCGGAGCCTGTACTCCGCAGCAGGAGAGGCCACAACAGTGAGAGGCCCACGTGCCGCAAAAAAAAAAAAAAAAAAAAAAAATCTTTAAGGGCTTCCCTGGTGGCGCAGTGGTTAAGAATCCGCCTGCCAATACAGGGGACAAGGGTTCGAGCCCTGGTCCGGGAAGATCCCACGTGCCACGGGGCAACTAAGCCCGCGCGCCACAACTACTGAGCCCACATGCCACAACTACTGAAGCCTGCATGCCTAGAGCCCATGCTCCACAACAAGAGAAGCCACTGCAATGAGAAGCCCGTGCGCCACAACAAAGAGTAGCCCCCACTCACCACAACTAGGGAAAGCCCGTGTGCAGCAATGAATACCCAACGCAGCCAAAAATAAATAAATTTTAAAAAAAGTATATATACAATTCAAAAAGAAAATCTTTAATCAAAACTGATGCTTCAGAAAGAAACGCCATGCTCACCCTACATTTTCATGAATCTTCTAAAACCAATCAATGCTTTCTCCCAGGAAATGAGAATCTAAACTGAATATTTTAGACTTAAGATAACCCAGACATTATTTCCTCAAAACTTAAAAGATTCCAACTATTACATAAATCAAGAAACAGTAAGTAGTTTTCTGTCTTCCAGAATATTTATCAGAAAAATCTCAACTCACGATCTGATGTGTGGGAAATCCTCTTCAATTTTGCTTCCTGTGTTTTTGAAAATTTGGAGTGCAGCTTCTGCTACTTTTTCATCATCCATTTTCAGACAAGCCAGGAGAGATTCAAATGTTTCAGCAGAATGAAACGAGATGGGATGTGTAAATGAGAGTACCTAAAAAATGATCATAAAAAATGATCTGTAATCCTTTTCACCTTTATAAACCTGAAATGTTACATATTAGAAATACTACAAATCCAAGTAAATACAAAAATAATTATGCTTAAAAATCAATAAGAGCACTATAAATAAAATTTAAAACTTACTCAAATATATAACAGAAATGTTCTTGTGTAGGAAGACTGTACAGTCTAAAGAAACAATTACCTTCAAAATTAAATTACATGTACCATAATTCTACTCAGAATAATCTGGATTTGGTTAATGTTTGGAGAGGGGGGTGGTGGAGAATGAAGGTAGGAGAAAAGGAAAATGAGAAGAGAGAATTTTTAAAAATACCTCTATGATTCTAAACAAAGATTATTAGAAGAGACCAGCTAATAACATTTTCGGAAAAAAGTAATCTAGGGAAGGGGGTAAAACAACCAGACAATAAACGATATTGTAAGGTTACAATAATCAAATCAACATGGTACTAACATTAGAAGCAACAAAAAAAAGAAAAAATAAAGCAATAAATAGAGCTTACCGTATATAAGCACTTAAGATAGGGTGTAACAGATTATAAAGATGGTAACAGAAAATAAATGAGAATGGATGGAATTTTTATTTTTAATAAATAGTCCTGGTAAAGGTGGATAGTTATTTGGAGGAAATCAAATTAGACCCTCCCCTACAATACACAATTTCAAAATAAATTTTAGCTGCATTGTTTCAAATTTAAAAATCACAAACAATAAAAACCCCTCTGAACATGACAGGACTTTTAAGCTTAAAATAAACAATTAGACTCAAATGTAGAATGTAAAAACAAGCAAGTAGTAGAAAAACGTATGAGCATAATGCCATATTTATAAGACTGAGAAACAAGCAAAATAAGTGATGTTATTTAGAGATATAGACATAAATGGAAAATCTAAACAGAATAGTTAAGAGAATAATAAACTCCAAATTCAGGACAATCAGACCTGGGAGATGTGGGGTAAAAAGCCACTCAGTGAACTTCAACAGTATTAATATTCTGTTTAATTTGGGTTCGCATTCCTTTTACTTTCTATTAGTATTCATTTTATTACTATACTTTATAACTTAAACAGAATACATTTTATTTTTTTATATATCAAATATGTCCTATAAAAAAGCCAAGGAAGTTAAAAGCACACTTTAAGTCAGTTAAAAAAACAAAAGATTGAGATGTCAGTAGAAAATGAACACAGGATAAAAGCAATGAATTCGCTATAGAGAAGACACTAATGATCAACATATGAAAGGTGGATCTCACTAGCAATAATTATATAAATTAAAGCATTATTTTTCGCTTATCAGGTTAGTAAAACTCTTAAAATTTTATACTATTCCAAATTTGTGAAGATAGGAGATAGGCACCTTCATACACTGTTGACTGAATTACATATACTGTATGAGTACGATTTCTCTGTAAAGGAATTTGAATACACATATATCCAAGAATTTTGAAAGTGGTCATTCTCTTTGACCCAGTAATGTCCTTCTAGTATTTAAAAAAAAAAAAAAGAAAGAAAGACATTAGCAGGAGATCTTATTTACCTTAGCAGTAATAAAATTAGAAAAATCTAAATATCCAACAATATGAAAGTAGTTGGGAACACTATGATATCTCCAAAATGAACTAATCAAAAAATAATGTTTATTATTATTTTTAGTATGAGCCAGACACTCTGCTAAGACATTAAGTACATGATTTAATTTAGTCCCTGTGAGAGAAGTACTGTTACTAACTCCATTATAGATGAGGAAACAGAGGCAATTAACTTAAAGCATACATCTAAAATAAAATCTGTTTTTTGACACTTAAAAATACTGTCAAAAAACACTGAGAAAAATGCTTATAATTTATTATGGGAAAACAGTCAAGATACGAAATTTTATTTTCAGTCTGATTTCAACTATATAAAAGTGTACATTTTTCTAAAGGTTAAAAGGAAACAAAAGATATTTATGAATGATAGGCTTCTCAATGTTTCCTTCTTTATTAGTTTATATTTTCAATGTTATCAACAATTAACTGATATCTTTGTAATCAGTAAAAGGTAGTAGTATATTTTAGCTAACAAAATAACACATAAAACAGACTTTAAAATTTTGGTTCTTCCTGTGGTAGGGGTAAGCAAGTTCTTTGTTTACTAATGAAAGCTTCAAATTATAATCCTTAATATAATTAATACTAGGTTATATTATACAATTTAAACCTGAGAATATTTAGCTTACATGTTAGAATAAACATGCAATTTCAAAATTACCTAAAAATGATTAAGAAAATTTTACTTCAGGTTCTATAAACCTAAAGAAGCAAATCTCAAGTCTAAAAAATCCAAACTATATATGTTTAACAATTGTCTAATTAGGCACTTAATTTCACCTTAAGCATATTTACCTTGAGCAGTTCAAGACCGGCCCTGATGGCTTGATCAGTTGGAACACCCTCATCTTCATCATCTGCTGTTCCATCTATTGACTTGTTCACTTGCTTTATAAGAGCACTAAAGCACGAAAAAAAAAATTTTTTTTTCATTTTTTTAACTCTTCTATTAGCAATGTCTAAGAAAAATAATCCTGAATATTTTCTATATAGACCACAACTAAACCACATAAAATCTGATACAGCTGTTGCCCAACCATTATGGCAAAACAGAAAGCTATAGTAAATATAGCTTCTTTTTGAAATGATATTTTCCTTTGTCCATTCAAATGAGGTCAAAATGTTATCTGATTTGCTGTTTATTAATGCTATATTTTTATTCTTGTATTTTCCGTGTAAAGTTTATGCCTAAACATGTGAATGATAATAGATGTTTTCTAACTATCTAAAGTTCATTATTACTCCAGTAAGTAGAAACACGTATATTGAAATAAAGGATAAATGCAACATTAAGCACTTTCAAACCATCTAGCAAATATTACTGTGTCTGGGACTGTTATAAAAGCCAGAAAGGCCTCCTCCTGAAAGGTGTAAAAATGCCACATAACAGACACACAATAAATCCTCACTAGAACATTCAGAATATATCAAAAAGGAAACACATGGGCGTCCCTGGTGGCGCAGCGGTTGAGAGTCCGCCTGCCGATGCAGGGGACACGGGTTCGTGCCCCGGTCCAGGGAGATCCCACATGTTGCGGAGTGGCTGGGCCCGTGAGCCATGGCCGCTGAGCCTGCGCATCTGGAGCCTGTGCTCCGCAACAGGAGAGGCCACAACAGTGAGAGGCCCGCGTATCGCAAAAAAAAAAAAAAAAAAAAAGGAAACACAACATTTTGAAATTTTCTTCTAAAAACAAGCTTATATAATTTTAAAATAATTATTTGTAATGCACTGTCTATTATTGAAAATAATCATTCACTCTGGTAGGTATTTGTTCTTTTTACAAAAAAACAAGTAATAGACACCAGGTTAGAGACATAATACATATCAAAATATAAGAAAATTCAATTATTCAATGTTCCTTAAAATGTTTAGTAGATCTACATTTCTACAAAAACATTATGTACTCAAATCTAATGTCAAGCTACAAGTCAAATATACCTGTCTTCCTTGCAGCGTCCTCTTAAATTTATCATTCCCTTAACAATTAGTATCTTTGAGGATGTTTTGTCCTTTTCTGCCCATTTTCCCTGATTAACTGATTCTCATAGCTCCAACCAACCCAAATAAAAATCTTCAGCCTGAATCCTCTTCCCATATTTTCATCAGTCCCAAGGTTTTATTTTTACCTAGATGTACCATAGGAATGAAAAATACCATATACCCAAAATTAAATTCATTATTTTCTTCCATGAGTAAGAGCATGAAGCTCTCAAGTCTAGCAAGGGAAGGCCAAAGGCCAAAAATAAGCAAACAAATACATTAAAATCAGGGAAAATAGGACTAGAAAGAAGGCCAAGACAAGAAGACAAGACTCTTGGTTAACCAGGTCAGTCAGGAAAGGCATTCCTGAAGAGGTACAATTGAGCTAGTAACCAAAGAACAAGAGCCAGTGATATTAAAAAATCTATGAGAAAAAGCATCAACCTGGAAAACCAAAGAGAATCAACTGAAAAACTATTACAAAATACTGATAGTTCAGTGAGGTGACACCAATAAAACACTAAAAATCGACTGTGCTGTTCTGTATTAGCCAAAGCCACCTAAAAAATACAGGCGGGTGAGGGGTAGAAGAAATCTATTTATAATGACAAGCCAAAATATACAAAATAACTAGGAATAAAAAGTTTTAGGGGCTTCTCTGATGGCACAGTGGTTAAGAATCCACCTGCCAATGCAGGGGACACGGGTTCAAGCCCTGGTCCAGGAAGATCCCACATGCCGCAGAGTAACTAAGCCTGTGCGCCACAACTACTGAGCCTGTGCTCTAGAGCCTGCGAGCCACAACTACTGAGCCCTCGTGCCACAACTACTGAACCCTGCACACCTACAGCCAGTGCTCCACAACAAAAGAAGCCACCGCAATGAGAAGCCTGCGCACGGTAACAAAGAGTAGTCCCCGCTCACCACAACTAGAGAAAGCCCACGTGCAGCAACGAAAACCCAACACAGCCAATAAATAAATGAATGAATAAACTTATTTTAAAAAGTTTTAAATGCACAGAATCTGTACATAACTTCTGAAATTATATTAAGGGAGCATAAAGATTTGAAAAAATCAAGACAAGCATGGAAACACAGTATTATACAAATGGTGTTTTTCACTGCATCTCAGAGGAACACAACTTGGTGTAGGACAAGATTCAACAGACACATTCTATAGCTAATCTGGAAAAATTAATTAATGTTTGGGAACATCTAGTACATTTTAGGGGAGGAGGGATAAAAGAATTTTCTCAATGAGATAAAAATGTATCATAAAAGCCTCAAAAGACAAAGAAACCAAGGCAAACATCCAGTAAGACCCCAAATATAAGAATTTATGCTATAATGAGGGAACATCTTGAATCAATTTTTCAATAAATGGAGCTGATACAACTAGCTATCAGGATTTTAAAAAAGGATGGATCTCTATCTCCACCTTACAACGAAATGAGTTCCAGACCAATTAAAGACTGAATGTAAAAAACATAACCATCTGATATGATACCAAAGGCAGAAAGAAATCATAAAGGAAACAAATAATAGATTATATAATTTAATATTTATTAATGTCAAGCACAAATTAGAAGGTAATCAAACTGTGTTACTAGCCTTAATTTATAAAGCATTCATATAATCAATAAGACAATTCCTCTAAGCCACTCACAGAAGAATAAGAAGAAACACAATTAGCCAAAAAACACATAGGGAAAAAAATGTTCAATTTTATTCACAATTTTTTGTTTTTTGTAAAAAAATAGTACCATCATTCACCTATAAAAAGGCAAAGACTGAAAAGGTTAAGTCACTATCAGGAAGAGTTAGGTGAATTGGACACTCATTGACTACTGGTGGGGAACAAGAGTGGAATCTTTCTGCAGTGTGGTGGCTAAAGCAAGAGGGTGCTGGAGCCAGACTTCCTCAGTTTAAATGCCGCTAGCTATTTCCCAGCAATGGGAAAGTTACTCAAACACCTGTGTAGCTCACTGTTTCTTACCTGTAAAATGGGAATAAAAATATTTCTTGCCTTATAAAGTTAAGAAGTAAGTTAAAACACGTAAAACATAGAGAATCAGCCCAGGCACATTATAAGCACTAATGGCTACTACCTGTTACTATTATTTACGTTTGAACACTTCTTCTGTAACACCATGACCTACTAACTGCTAAAGTCAAAGACCTGTTTTGGTCCTCAGTCTTTCTGTTCATCACACATATTACTGCTGGAAACTTTTTCTATCTTAAGTCTCAAAATACTGCAATAACCTGGTTTTCTTACCTTTCTGTAATTTTTCTACTGTTAAAAAAAATTTCACGGTTCTGTCCATGATCTTTTGATCTTTTTAACTTTTTTCTACATAATCTTGCTCAGGGAACTATCTATTCTCAACAGTTTCACTTTAAATTTAATTTGCCTTGATTAAAAAAAATTGCATCCAAATAAGCACCGCATCCTTTCTTACCAGCTCCTTTCATTCTTTTCATGGTAATACTATTCATCATCTGGACTTGACCCCGTATACTTGTGATTCCTTCCTTTTATTCCCCATTTCCAGTAAGATGACCCATTTTTTACGTTGTTCTTTTAAAACCTTCCTCAAATATGTTCTTTCCCTTCCATCCCACTACCACCATCCACAGACAATTATAACAACACCTTAGCAGTCTATCTTTTTGACTTCCCTCCTCCTATCCATCATCAATCATTCCTGGTTCTCAACAGAGCAAGAACAAAGTAAAAGCTCTAAAGTTAGCTCTTATAGCCTTTCCACAATCTGATCCCAAATGCTTTTTTTTTTTTTTTTTTTTTTTGTGGTACACGGGCCTCTCACTGTTGTGGCCTCTCCCGTTGCAGAGCACAGGCTCCGGACGCGCAGGCTCAGCGGCCATGGCTCATGGGCCCAGCCGCTCCGCGGCATGTGGGATCTTCCCGGACCGGGGCACGAACCCGCGTCCCCTGCATCGGCAGGCGGACTCTCAACCACTGCGCCACCAGGGAAGCCCCCCAAATGCTTTTTTAGAATCACCTCATAACACTTTTACACTTCTCCATATTGTACTTTAAATAGATGGCAATTATTTTCTAAATATCTTTGTTCTTTCCTATCCCAGTTAGCTTGGCTTATATTAATCTCAATACCTAGAATACTCCTCCCTTTCCTGTAGAAATACAATCTTACCCCATTCTTCCTCTTAGGTCAAATACTACCCCCTTTGAGAAATCTTCTTTCAGTCCTCTGAACACTATCTGCACCAATTTTATAGAACTATAATATAATTTCCTGATTAAAACTCTCTATTCCCTTACTCAACAGAAGGTTGATGAAAAGCAGAAAATATGCTTTGCCAATATCTAACTAGCATCACTTCAAATATATTGTAGCAGGCATGGGATTATTTATTTAATTAATGAATTTCAGTCTGATTCAGATTCTTCCTTGTACTAATATAGAGGTTCTGGTTTTTTGTTCTGTTTCCTTTTGTTTTTCAAACTGAAGAACCCTTTCTTCAAATGAAAAATGATGCAAGAGGAGTCCAAAGTGACAAATGGGCATCCAAAGTAGGGTCTGTCTCCCTACTCTATGGAGGGTCACAAGTGAAAAGCTATACCCTATGCCCTCCTCAAAAAAAAAAAAAAAACCCAAAGGGGCTTTACTGAGTACAGAGTGTACCATTATTATTATTTATTTTAGAATCCAATAAAGCTCTGAAAGGTACTACTGATCACTAATAAATCAGTATGCTATATATATATTTTTTATAAGTACTTTCTTTTTTCAACCAGTTGAAAGATTTAAGGAAAAGCTATAAAAAAAAAAAAAAAAAAAAGAAACGGGGACTTCGCTGGCGGTCCAGTGGTTAAGACTCTGTACTCCCAATGCAAGGGGCACAGGTTCGATCCCTGGACAGGGAACTAAGATCCCGCATGCCACATGGTGCAGCCAAAAATAAATAACTTAATTAATTAAAATAAAATAAAATAAAAACTAAAAAGAAATAAATAAATAGAAAAGAAAAGAGCTCTTCCCACATTTTACAAAACCAAGTGCAGATATAAATAGAAAGTATTTTCCAAGATGTCACAGTCAGGTGATAAAGTTTCAAACCTGAAACTTTAAATGAAGGTTGTTTTAAAAATAACATTTTCAGTTCTCAGATATCTCTGAAAATGCATCATATGTTGTTTTACAACATATTCACTTAGTTTTCTTTTCCTGAGAACAGAACTGCAATTTGTTTCTATTAGTTAACCTATGCAAGCTAACTAACTACTATACTAGTAACAGACCAAAAACTAGGCTTGGATTGACAAATTCTCATCCAAGTTGAAAGAGTACCTAAATTAAAATATATAACAAGAAAACCTACATACATACATATATATATACAGAGGAGTGTATGTATATATACAAACATATACATATATATGAATAGATCTATTTACAGATATCTACAGATTAGGGTATAGCCATTATGTATATACATAAACCTATACTATGAGTGCCTTACTCAATAATGAGCGCAGGTACCCAATAATGATTGACTACTAAAGCATGAATGAATTAATAGTAATGAAAATTCAATATTTTAATATACAAATACCTGATAGATTCAGTATCTATGTGCACAGGTGCTATCCTCTCCAAGAGAAACTTGATCATTTCCAGAAAAGGATTTGTAGGCTGTTTGGGGTTGCCCAACTTCTTAGTTATTTCTCGCTGTAATGTAGATTTTTAAAATATTAAAAAAGTATTTTAAATAATTCATTACATTAAAATGTTAAGAACCTATAATAATTAAAACCACATAGTATTGGTGCTGGAATAAACAAATCAATAGGAATAGACTAAGAATTTAGCATAGGAGAAAGGTAATATTTCAAGTAAGTAGGAAAAAGGTAGATTATTCAATATATTGTTATATTGAAATACCTGAACAGACATTTAGAATAAAAGCAGAGTTATATCCCTATCTCACACCTTACACCAAAAATATTCCAAAACAATGAAAACAAATACGAAAGAATAAAACCAAGGGTCAGTGGATACACAAACTTCAACAAGCAAAATTATTAGGGGAGCCCATTAAAACTACAGATTCCTGGGTCTCACTGTGAAGATTCTCATTTAGTCAACCTGGCGTAGAGCCAAAAATCACCTTTTTTAAAAAAGAATTTAGGACGATGCATGGGCAACAGATTAAGAAATACTGACATCAGGGACTTCCCTGGTGGCGCAGTGGTTAAGACTTCGTGCTCCCAATGCAGGGGGCCCAGGTTCAATCCCTGGTTGGGGAACTAGATCCTACATGCATGCCGCAACTAAAAGTTCGCATGCCACATCTAAGGGGCCTTCAAGCTGCAACTAAGGAGCCCGCGTGCTGCAACTAAGACTGAGCACAACGTAAATAAATAAATAAATAAATATTAAAAAAAAAAATACTGACATCAGTAAACATTTTCATTGAACTGCAATAGCATGGGATTTCATAAGCAGGACTCCAAAGGCAAAAACCTTGAGGAGACTGCTGATAGACTTAGCGAGATAACAAAACTATAGTATGTAAAGGACATCATAAACAAAATGAAAAGGGAAAACTACAACAGACAGAAAACTATATCTGCAGCTTAATTAACATACAGTGCCATGACATACTAACAAATGAGATAAAGATAAATATTCCAGAAAAATAGGCAAAGACTAAAAAACACACAATTTACAAAAGAAATAAGAATAGCTAATATACTGAAGGAGAAAAAATGGTCAGATGACTAGCAATCAATTTTACAAATCCTATCAAAATAATGATGTTTTTGAGTTTTGCTTGTTCCCAACAGTGATAACTGGCCAATAATGAATTTATCCTAAAGAAATGAAATCAAGACTGTGTAAAATTACTTAGCTATAAAGATTAAGTATTCTTTACATTAATCAAAAACTGGGAAAAAATTTAAATGTGTAACACAAGTGGGCCGTTCAATAAATTATGGTACACGTATTCAATGGTGTGCTATGTTGCTACTAAATATAATACTGCAAAAGACTAATTAATGACAAAGTAAAATGTACAAAGATACATGTATAATATAAACATACACCATAATATTAACCACTGTCTCTATAGAGGAATTACAGTTTAATTGTATTGTTATTTTTGTGATATTTTCTAAATTTTACGTAACGAATTACAAGAGAGGACAAAAAAAGATTTGGAGGTTTCTCCAAACATGAGCTCTTTTTAAATTTCTCTCCTTACCACACAACCTTCAGCTTGTTTGCAGGAGCATGTTGGACTAACAAGTACTTCTAACTGTTTTCTTATTTTCTCATCATCTTCTAACACCTGTGTGAATTTTTTCATGAAATCCTGAGCCTTACCAGGATCTGGCAAATTTCCTTAAATTAAATTAAAATTCAATTAAAATACAATTTTAGAAATTTATCAAAATAATAAATGAGATCAACATTTTTCATTCTTTTTATTACTTTGATGAATAATCCTAACTTACAAATTCATTTAATTTAATGCGATAAAAATTGTAGAGCACCTTCAATAATACATTTTCACAAATAAAAATCTGTTTCCTAGAAACATAAAATAAGATCATTGTGAAGGACCATCTATGCAGAGAAAGACCAAACTGGCTATTTCTAAATAACTCCTTATAATACTTAAAGGCATTACATGTCTACCTGAGTAATACCAATTTTATTACTATCCCTTGAGCTTGTTGTATACATTGTTCTTTTGCAATTCAAAGTAAGAAATGAAGATCAATCAGTTTTACCTAGAAGAAACCATTTTCCTCTACTGCACTGTTTACTGTTAAACCATCCAGAGATAATGCACACACGCACGCATGCTACTTGGCACCAACACATGCTGAGCAACACGTTCCAGGTGTTACTGCTCGGTAGGCCATTATCACATGAGAAAGGATGAGTTCTTGTAGAATCATAGATGAGTTTTATACTACTCTCCTAATACATCATGTATCAAAACACTTATGAAAGCTAATAAAATATTCATCCTAGAATCTTTTTTTTCTGGCTACTCACAACTGTGAGGGAGAACAAGACTAGGTAGGATCCTTCTAATAACAGAAATTATAATATAGAACTATGGACTCTAATAAAAGTAGTAGAAATGTGTTGAATCTTAAAATATGAATACAGTAAATGCAGTCTTCAAGTTCATATACAACTCTGAAATTCCATTTTAAGTCTTGGCTAGATGACTGAATATAGTAAGAACAAATTTTCCTCCTAACTACTTGACTGTATGACATTTCCATATTTCTAGAATACAAAAATTCTACTGTACTGTTTGTCAACAGTTTTGGAAAATGTCACTTTACAGCCCCTCCATAACATATAGGCATCATATTAAAGGCTACAATAAAGCATACCATTTAAGAAACAAAACAAAAAGAAAGTGAAATGGGGATAGAGGGAGGGGGAGGGAGAGAGAGGAGGGAAGGACAGAGATGGAGACAGGGAGGAAGGGAAAAACAACAACAGAAAACCCCTTTAATTCAGGATTCTACAAACATACTAGACCATGGAACTCTTTTTTCTGATGATACTATTAACACCTGCAGGATACTGGCATTCTTCACAAGAAAATTTGGGAAATACTGTACTTGTTGGAAGAAAATGGATAGGGGGTTAAAAAAAAGAATATAGGAGACGATCTCCTTTAGGGGACAGTGTCTGCAGCCAAACAACCAGAGAAATAGTTGTTAAAAAGCAATAGCACAAAATCACTTGCTTTAAGTTATCCAAAGGGACTGAAAACTAATTTATGTTTAACTGCTCAGGACTAAAAGACATTTTGGTCTTTTTGGGAAATTTCTACTCATGCTAAAACTTCTATCACTTAGTCTAATACCCAGTGAATTAGGTTACTGTTCTCTTTGGTGTCTTAGCATTACTTCCACACACATCTCGGAATATTTGTTAACATCTCAAAAATCCGTCTAAGAACTCTTCATTACTACCACATGGAAGCTCAGTAGAAGCATTCCTCCAGGTGTTCCTGATTTTCCCTCCATCCATATGCTATACACAGTGATCCCTGAGGTGAGAGGAAAAGCAAATGACCTACAAAAACCGCTACTTTTTCCTACCCCTGCCCTGAACAAAGGAGGTGTTACACAATCCTTTAGTATTTACTGTTAAAGGCAATTAAATAACATTTTATTTAAAATCACTGAAAGTAAAAAAGCAAATTAACTTTTTTTTCAAAGAAGCTCTCTTGTAGTTATTAGGTATATCTTTCATTGTAAATTTCAGCTCAGGATGAAATTAGCTTCGGATAGATTCCCATTAGACCAAGCAATACCAAAGCACACATGCAGTTTTTAACAGCAAGGTTACGCAGTAATTTGAATGTATTCTCAAAAATAAATTTATGTAATAAAACCCAGCTTTTGCTCGTATCAACACACAAAATAATCCTGTGTAGTATGCAAAATAAATGAAAATCAGAAAAAAAAAGGAAAGCTGAGCGTGTTAGGGGAAAAAAAAAATCAATCAGAAAACTTTAATATTTTCCTATATTATCATAGCCTAAAATGGAACTCCAAGAAACACTTTATATTATCCGAAAGAAATGTTTCAAATAAACCTTAAAGTTTACATATAATATTTGAAATAACTTACTTGTAATAACCATCACTTTTGAAAATATGGCCTTGACACTGGCATCTGTCTGTAAATCACACAAAAAAATGCAAAATTAGAACCTCCTGTACCAAGTATACCACACTAAAACAAGATGTAAATAATAAGGGAAATGGGGAGAGGGTAGGGGTATATGTAAACTCTGTACTTTCTGCTCATTTTTCTGTAAACCCAAAACTACTCTTTTAAAAAAGTCTTTTAATTTTAAACAATTAGTAAACAGCAAAATAAAAAATCTCCTAACAATAATCTTCACTGTATTCTTTAGAAAGTTAAATAAGCATAACCCATTCATGCTCTCGGCCCACGCCCTGACCACCACTATATGCTCCTTCTTTAGCCATGTTTAAACTCCAGATGAACCGAATGAAAGGTAGAAGTGAAGTCATACTCCACTGTCGCTGCCTCTTCCCTTGTCCTGTTTAGTCAGCCTCCAAAACAAAAACAGATGACTGCTACATCAACCTTTTGGGACACAGAGATATTTTGTTTTTCTTAAGTACTCAAAGAACAGGACAACTAAGTTTAAAAAAGGAAACTAATCTGGAAATGTTGGTTTTCACATTTTTAGCCTATCTCAAACAAAAAGTTGACAAGTATATAATTCTGATTGAACTGAGGTATTCCTAAAATCGTTAACCCTGAGGATTATAAGGCATAGTCATGAAGCCACTGGGAAGACACTGGATGAAGACAATGAAGATGCCACTGACAGGTACAAAAATTTTCCAAGAGTGCTAGTTATTTGTTGCATCAGGGTAGTATTTCAGTGAATGAATGTGTTCATCACATCGTGCTGCACGTAATACACTCTGTAAAGTCACATGTATAAAGGATGTTTCTAAGAATACTAGTTATTCATTCCATCAGGCATTATTAAAAAAAAAAAGTCCCTGAGCAACTCTGCATAAAATACTGAGCTAGAGAAACACTGGGGTGAAAGCAACAAATCAAAAAATAAACAAATAAACAAACTGTCCCTATTGAGAAGGAGCTTTCTAAAAGGAAGGAGAGACAAAGAATAATAGAATAGCGTACAAGAGCTAATTCCCAAATATTTGGAACTTAATAGATCTGACTAGAAACATAAGATTTCTATTGTTTTTCAATTTGGGGGGAAAGAAGTGGTGCTGGCCTTACTAGAAGTTGATCCACATGAAAAAGAAACATCACCAACAAAGTACAATACTGCAGGGCTTCCCTGGTGGCGGCGCAGTGCTTGGGAGTCCACCTGCCGATGCAGGGGACGAGGGTTCGTGCCCTGATCCGGGAAGATCCCACATGCCGCGGAGCAGCTGGGCCCATAAGCCATGGCCGCTGAGCCTCCGCGTCCGGAGCCTATGCTCCACAACGGGAGAGGTCACAACAGTGAGAGGCCCACGTACCGCAAAAAAAAAAAAAGAAAAGTACAATACTGCAAACTACAGAGTCACTTTGAGTGACACTGAGCAAATCAATTTAGTTACATGAAGTAGAAGGGCTACATTACTAAGAAAGAATAAAAACTATCTTAATTAGAAGGAATAATGAGGAAGCCAATGAAACATGTACTGATTATTATATCTAAGAGTCTTCCTGGTAAAATAGGCAGAATTATAAACAGCCAAAAGTTAAACACAGCTTTGTATTTTCTTTCTAACTTTATAATATCTACTACAATTCTCAGTATAAAGTGAATATTAAGTAATAAGAGACTATGAATTCTCCTTTCACTAGAATTCCACTTTAGAGTACTATCCTCCTCCATTCTGTTTCTTCTTCATCCCCCACCACACATGAATGAGAATTCCCTCTTTGATTTGGATAACTTGTTAATTATTTTAAGATAATTTAAAGGAAAATACCACAAAGTGGAAGGGTATAAAACATTGTAACTTAATTGAGATTGTATTTTATTTCATGTAGACTGAACAGGAATGTCATGAGACCCTCCCAAGTTTTTATGAACAGGCAAAGGACAGAAGCCCCCACTAAATAAAATTTAAAGGGACAGTGAGAGTCAAAAACAGTTATTTTTGGTTACCGTCTCATACATCACACTGTTCAACATATGATCTACACACTTATGCTATTCGGCTGCTAATGACTTCAATAATGCCTAAAATCAGGAATAATTTTATACACATGCAAATAAGAACATTCTTGCAACTTTACCTAAAGGAAGTAAATTAACAAGTCTCTAGGTGGCAAAAAAGGGCACTTTATCCAGAGCTTACTATCTGAAACACATCAACACTGCATTATAACACTGACTAACACACGTTTATTTGGTTGAAACACACTAACTTAACTGGGATTTTCCAATTTTCCTCCTTCGCACAGAACGTACTGAAATAGCAGAATCTCTAAAATTAGTTTTAAGTCATTGACTATAAGAAAAACTTCTTCTAGCAGGTTCAATATACTCAGGAATCACAGAAGGTTAAATTATGTTCAATAAACCATAAACAAAGAGGTCATTGTCAGCCTATAAAACAAAAATACTACTCAGTTGTAAGCTTCAATCAGGCAAACAAGTGGTATGAAATGCCTTATTATAGTGATTTAGAGGTTAAGAAAAAAGTGAGGTCACTATAAACCACTCAAACAACTACTGTTAGCTTACTGATTTTTTGGGCAAACGGCAAGATTTACACCTAGGAAAACTGGAAATTTTCTCCCCTTAGGTGAAACAACTCCATTCTGTTGACCTCTGTCCTATGAACATGAGGTGTATGTCGGGGGGTGGGGGGGGGTGGTCCACTGTGCTTGAAAAAGAAACAAAAAATAACACTACACTGTTTTCCCTGGATGCAATTTAAAATGACCAGGCACACTGATTTTTAGATGAATTATACTTTTTATAGGCCTACATACAACATTCTCAAACAACATCAACTGGATGAATAACCACCATTAAATTATAATTATGAAGACCAGGTAATACATTAAAATTACCATATTAATTGTAAGTAAAAATATCATTATACTAAACTATAATTACATGATATTAAAACTTTCTATAACCACAAGACTATATAAAGATGATGGCAGCATTTCAGTGTAGCAACATTAAGTGTAATTTTACTGTTTTCTATGCTTTCAATAATGCTGAGTTATTGTTTGGTTTTATTTTTTTAATTTTAAAGCTACCAAAAAAGGCTTCATTCTGTGTACACAGAAGCACATTCTCCTTCCTGTTGGGTATCACCTTTTGCAGATATAGTAAATTTAAATTTTTCTAAGCAATAAGTTTCTTAAAATTTTCAGTGTTCTAAATTAGAGATCATAGGTTCTCGAGTCAGAAGTGTTCCACACAGAAATAGTTGTTCAACACATAGCAAAAATGTTGATAACTTACTTTGGGTTGCTTAATTAAGTCAAGCAAATCCTTTACTTGATGTCGGAGCAGATTTTGACATTTCCACATTTCATTCAGTGCTCTGAAAAACACATACATAAATTTAAATAACAAAACAGGATAAACATCCTTCCAGAATATCCCAACCATGTTAATTTTTTCTAAAAGTTCAAATTACAAATGGAGATGACAGAGAAGGGTAAAATTTACAGGACTAAGCAACTGGTGATACATGAAGAGAAAGAGAGAAGTCAAATATAAGAGATAATAACATTTGAGGAGATGGCTATATCAAAAGAAAGGGATTAGTGGTGGTTGTTTTTTCTTTTGTATAAAAATAGTGAAAATCAGGCTTCCCTGGTGGCCCAGTGGTTGAGAGTCCGCCTGCCGATGCAGGGGACATGGGTTCGTGCCCCGGTCCGGGAGGATCCCACGTGCCGCGGAGCGGCTGGGCCCGTGAGCCATGGCTGCTGAGCCTGCGCGTCTGGAGCCTGTGCTCCGCAACGGGAGAGGCCACAACAGTGAGAGGCCCACGTACCGCAAAAAAAAAAAAAAATAGTGAAAATCTATCATTAACTGGAACATGTTTGTAGGCAAGGGCATAGCAATGAACTGCAGAGATTACAAACTTAAGAAATAAAGCAATATTTAATGGAGTAAGGTCTTGTATTCAATAGCAGGCCGGATGAAAAGGAATAAAAGACACAAACGGAAAAGACTGAGCCCTGAGAGAATGGAGATACTTTTTGCTGAAACAAAAATATTATAATTTTACATTATATTATATACTTTTATTTATAAGTAATATTTATAAATTACATTATATGTATATAAGTGAACATTCATTTTATATGGCAAAAATTTTGATCACCATAACACTTCTATTGTTCTCAGGCAGAAATTTAAATCTAAAAAAAATTATATAGGTACTCAAAAAAATATACATAAATCACAGACAGCAGTTAATGTTATTTAAATATTAAGTTATAGAATATCAGAACCACTCACATTTAAAATTTTAAAAAGGAAATTTTCCAAAACCAAATAATACTTCTCATTGTTTTCAATTATCCATACTTCTATTAACCTCCATTATCACACATATGAAGCACTGCCATAAGAGTAATTTAATATAGAAGCATATAAAACCATATAAAAACACACTTTTTCTTTTGATAGACAAGGCAATTGTTTAATATTTTCACCCTCCTCAGCAGTATGTTTTAAAAATATCTTTGCATTTTTTAAAGGAGACAAATTAGCTTAGATTTGGACAATTCCTTCATAGTAGTCCCTTCAACATGGTACTGGCAAAACAACAGTGCTGGGGCATTTTCATCTTGAAATAGCTAAACTTTACTGTCTTCCAGTTACTAAAGTTCCGTAAAGTTTAACTGGCACACTTTAAGAATGTAAACATTAAAACAAAAATGACCATTATCCAGAGGACTGTAAATAATTTTCAAAGAAACAGAGTAGTCATCTGTGAAATTACTTGTGAACTCCAAAGTCAATGAATTCTCTCCTTGCCTATACATTTTATCACTACTTAAAACTTCTGAAAGCCCTGGATTTGAAACTTGCTTTCACTTAAAGCAGAAAAATAAAGCAGAAATTATCTTATTTATTAACTTAAAGATGAAATCTTAAGCAATTCTAAAGCTTATTATAAACTATCATGGCTATAGCTTAAATCAAAAAGTGACCATCACTGACTAAGAATTTGTATTATAACATTCAGGGGGAGCATCCTCTTGAGCATTTCAATTAAATCACATTAAGCAGCAAAGACAATTTGTCCTCGTGCTTTGCCTTTCTAAACAGTACTTAAGGAAAAAAAGTTGTGCTAGTAGAAGCAGTACTACTACAATAGGAAGACAAATATCCATTTATTTAACATTAGCCTGAATTCCAGCTCTGTCACTAAATAAACGTGAAAAATCTGGATAGAGCCTGGATACTCTTCCATTTGTTAAGTGACATTTTAAGTAGACAACTAGTTCCCTCACTATGGCTTCTCCTTGTTTGCACCAACATACCACAGGTTTGCGTCAGTTCAAAGAAACAGACGACTACCATTGGGCTGCAGTCAGAAACCTGCCCAAATGTTGAAGAGAAACTCTCCTCCAACCTTCTACTCCCAACTGGCAAATTACCCATCAGACTCCACAGTTCAAAACTGTCTAGATGAGAGCCTGATCAATGAAAGAGAAGATCACAACCAGGACACCTGATACTACCACTTACTCTTGTCACTGACAGTTGTTCTGGGGAGCTTGGGGGAGGTGGAAATATACACCATGATCAGACAGTACCCAAGCTTGCCTCTATTCTCCTTTCCAGTAATCAGTATACTTAAGTTAACCTAGGGACTTACCCAAAAGTGAGTACACATCAAAAAGTCTAAAATATAGGAAGTATTTTGTCTTCCCCAAAAGAACACAGATATAGAATAAAATATATGGCTCTTTCAGTAAATAAGAAAAATCCTTACCAAACAAGTTCTTAGCAGGAACCCGCCTGCCAAGCAGCTAATTTTTTTTTTTTTTTTTTTTTTTGCTGTACGCGGCCTCTCACCGTTGTGGCCTCTCCCGTCGCGGAGCACAGGCTCCGGACGCGCAGGCTCAGCGGCCATGGCTCACAGGCCTAGCCGCTCTGCGGCATGTGGGATCTTCCCGGACTGGGGCACGAACCCGTGTCCCCTGCATCGGCAGGCGGACTCTCAACCACTGCGCCACCAGGGAAGCCCCCTAAGGAGCTATTTTAAAATACTTTTCAAACTAATTAGAGGTCACAAAAATTCAAATGACTTTCTGGGCTAGAATGGTAATATAAATGAATGAAGTAGGACAGGTGTTATAATACAGAGTATTATATACAGAGGACTGTGGTGAAATTAGAAACATTAAGTAAAACATCAATATTATTAGTATTCAGACCAATGAAAAAAATGAGAAAAAATTTGACCCCCAAAAGATTGGCAAAAAATAAGATGCCTGATAATGTTTTGGAGTAAGAGTATAATTTAGTATAATCATATTGGGAAATAATTTGACTAGTTTATAATGCTGAAAATGTGCATTCTCAGCAATTCCAGTCATAGCTGTATACCAGTGATCCTAAACCCTGGTTACCCATTGCAATGTCCAGAAACGCTTTCCTAAAAACTCCAATGCCCACACTACACTCCAGACAAATTAAATGATGATCTCTGAGGATGAGATTCATGTGTCAGTATTTTTTAAACCTTTCCACGTGATTCCAATGTGCAGCCAAATTTGAGAACCATTCATAACCATACGTTAGAGAAACCCTTGCATGTGTATACTAAATTGAAAAATGTTCACAGTAGTACTATTTGTATTATTAAAAAAATGGAAAGACACAAATGTCCATTCTTTGCACTGACTCAGATTTGCAATGCCAAGATGATGGAATAAAACTATGGTTTAATGACAAAGTAATTCAGTACCACAGTGAAAATGAATGACCCACAAGCTATACATATAGAGTAGATGAAGCTTAGGAACGTAATAGAGTGGCGTGAAAAAACAAGTCACTGAAGAGTATACCCACAATTATTCCGTTTTCATAAAGTTCAAAAACAAGCAAAAATTAAAAATATATTATTAAGGGATACATACATACATATGATAAAACTTTTTTAAAAGGAAATGAGAAACACAAAATTAAAGCTAGTGGTTTCCTCTGGGAGGAGGATAGGAGGATGAAAGAGAAAAGTGTTCACAAGTTGGGTGGTAGATTCATACACAGTTTTATTTTATTACTATGCTTCAAAACTCATGATTTGTGTGCATTAAATACTTCATGATAATAAGTGTAAAGACTTTTGGAGAAAATAATCACAGATAAATGTAAAGTTAAAGTGTAATAAAATATTAAGAAGCATTAGGTGTATAGTTGGTCACTTAATTCCAAGAAGTTGATTAAAATAAAAAGTAATTTTAAAAACATTATCTCTCTCTCTCAAGTATTTTAACTTAAAAGAGATAAATACTCATTCACTCACCAACCATTTCTGTAGAATCAATTGATCCACAGATTGGAAATTACTTTCAACTTTTCCATGACATTATCTTCCAGTATATCTCCTATGTCACCATTTTTTCTTTTTAATTCAATCAAATGGACTTGTCATTTAAGTGATGAATGATATCTGATAAAAATATTTAGTTTTGAAACTGCTATTTATGTTTTCTGTATTCTATTTTCAATTATTTTTTATTTTCTTTTCCACTTCTGGTATTAAGGTTTTCATTAATTTTTTGCTCCTATGGGTTTAGAAGTTATACATTCGAATTCTATTTTTTTAGGGGTGACTCAAAGTTTTAATATGCACACTTGATTCATGGTCTAATTAATCAACATGTCTGTCCTCACTCTTATATGACAAAAGAACATTAGAACACTTTACCTGCCATCTTAACATGTTGTTATCTGACAGGGTCTACCCTGGCATGGGGCAGGGTATCCCAGGGACTCTCAAGGGAGTTCACATATCATTGCAGTGGTGTACACTGGCACAATATCAGCCTAGATGATAACCTACTTTTTAATCCAGACCCCAACCCCTTGTAAAGAAAACTTTATCCTATTCCTTCCTTCTGGATTCAATTTCCTTTTTTATTCTTTAGTAATTTTTTCAAGTAGGATTTATGAGTGGTGAACTCTCATTTTTTGCTTGCAAGTGTCTTTAATTCATTTTTACTCCTGAATGACAGTTGAACTGAGTCAAGGAGTCCCGATTGGGTGTGATTTAAATAGGTTGTTTCAAATGGGATATATACATATCCTATCTCATCCATTCTAAGAGGCCATCAAGTGCACCATGAAGAAAAGGATGCATTACAATTCTACAGATGCTAGCATATGAAAATTTTATGTTTTACAGTTAATTATAGAGGTAACATATTTTACTATACGCAGTGGAAAAAGAATGAGCTTTGGAACCAGGAAGAACTGAGTTCAAATTCTGGCTTTGGGGCTTCCCTGGTGGCGCAGTGGGTGAGAGTCCGCCTGCCGATGCAGGGGACACGGGTTCGTGCCCTCAGTCTAGGAAGATCCCACATGCTGCGGAGCGGCTGGGCCCATGAGCCATGGCCGCTGAGCCTGTGCGTCCGGAGCCTGTGCTCCGCAACGGGAGAGGCCACAGCAGTGAGAGGCCCACGTACCGCAAAAAAAAAAAAAAATTCTGGCTTTGTCTCTTATTACTTGTGTAATTTTGTGCAAGTTCATTGATCCCTGTGGGATTCAGCTCATCATGTGTAAAACAGAAAAAAAAAATCATTTATACTGGGAGTTTCCAAGCTTTTCCTATAAAAGGCCAGAAAGTAAATATTATAAGCTTTGTGGGTCATAAGGTCCCTGTTGAAACTACTCAACTCTGCCAATTGTAGCAGAAAAGCAGCCACAGTTAACACATATTCCTGTGCCTGAAGTACAGTGGGTATCAAGAAATGTACATTTCTCCCCCTACAACCTTTTTTCTCAACATTCCTATGAAAGATATAAATAGCATACATAATAATTTCCATGTGGGAAGTGCAGTTAAAAGTCTCATTAAGCTGTGGTAGGAATGAAAATTATATACAGCTCCGTAGACTTCTAATTTCTGAATATTTAATCCCCATTAGCTGGGGATTAAGTTACACATTCACTGGAATACTGAATCTAAACTTTCTGAAACCTAGAGCATATCCATCTCTAGGCCTCAATTTCCTAAGCCTCAGTACGATTCAATTAGTAATGCCTCTCCCATAAAATGCCAATTCCCTACAAAGCCATACAAAAGCACTTTTTGAATGAAACATGGTCATAAAAATGTATTTGTGCTTACCTTTATATCAAACTATAACGCCATGTTGAGGCTATGCAGCACAAAAATATGTATCCTACTGCCCTACTCTGTAATTCAAATCAGTATCAGGTGAAAATAAGAAAGTACTAATTTCACAATATGGACCTTTCTAATGCCTTAAGGAATACAAACAAAAGCAAAAGGTACATCAGCATTTCTTGAGACAACAATATGAAAATCTGGAGAGAGAAAAACTAAATCCTAAAAGATTCCATGTCAATCAGCTCTGTTTTTTAATTAGTTACAAAAATCCTTGTTAATCTCATGTTAATAGCAGTACTTTCTGAAAAATTATCCTATCCAAGTATTTTATTGTGTCTGACCACTTAAACAATGTTTGCATTACATAAATTGTTGACATTTAAAAATACAGTTGTTTTATTTTCCATAAAATCCAACATACTGCAAAAGATGGAAAGAACAGAGTTTAACATTTGAAACATACTTCACAGCATTTAAATCCAGTGTGGCATACAAATAATATAAGCATTTCATCCGTTCTGTAGTTTCCAAATTGTGGGGGACCATGTATTGAGCAAAGATCCGTTCAACAAGCAATCTACGAAAAAACATAAAGTACTGTATTAATTTCTTTAAATGTACGTATTAAATATGTATGTAAATTTCCAAAACACATAAACAACACATATAAAAGAGCTTCTTCTTTCTGAGTAGAGATGAGATTTCCAAATCAAAGATTTCTTTCTATAAGAAGAAGAGCCAAAGAAAAAATTTTAGCTGGATGTACTGGAAACAGTCCTATACCTAACTAAGATTAACTACTTCTGCATGACCTTGGGCAAGTTATATACCAGGGACTCAATTTCATTGGCTAAATAATAAAGGGTTAAAAAACTACACCAGAACCTTCCAAGTGACAAATTCTAAACATCTATAAGTTAACCATAAAGAAATGTTTAAGATTCTTGACTTTTTGTAGTGATCATCATGAAAAGAGACCTAGATAAAAGTAAAAAAAAGAAAAAAAGGAGAAAAGAAAAATTAAATGGTGGGGGTGGGCTATGAAACCATAATGCAAATCTCTGTGCACTGATGCCACACGCTTAAAAAGCTTAAAAACGTCAATTTTCTAAAAATAATAAATATAAAGTCTCTTAGATAATATCAACCTAAGATACTCAGTTTCTGCTTCCCATACCTCTTAAAATTGTAAGATGTCCTACTGGTTCTTAATTTTCTCATTCTCACCTGTTAATAAGCAAGATCATTTGGACCCCACTAAAAATTCATCAAATCAATGCAGACTGCAAGCAGAATTTACAGTTCTACTAACTACTAAATCGCTAGGTTCCATATAAGATCTAACCTTACACACTGGAATAGAAAATACAAAGATTATATTCAGATAATGTGTTTTTATATAAATTTATAAACTAGTTTTTTTAGCCTTGGGTAGGAATTGTTTGTATTTAAAATGTCTAAATCCAAAGGTTGTATACTTATTTTATTTGAAAAAATGAATGTGAATCCTTATAACACAATTATCTATGAAACAAAATTTAAATCATAATTACATACACTCCTACTTTCAAATATTACTCTGTTAAAACATAGTATACGAAAATGACCATAAAAGATGTATCCATCCCTAAAGTTATATGTACATTACTACTTCATTTATGGCTTTGGTGGGAAAGCAACTAGTCACTCACTACCTTTAATTTGCAGTAAAAACTGAGGAGGGAGTTTAAAGTTATAAAGAAAATAGTTAGCCTAAAACAATAGCTCAACAACAGTTATATAATACCAAAAGCACTAAACATTTTACATGTGGTGTCTTCAACTTACCTATCATCAATACTATTTTGATAATATATATGTAGCAATTTGTCTTTGATCCATGAAATCTGTTTTGCAGCATCTTTCCCAGCTGCTGATTGTAAAGCGTATTTCTTATAGATCTGCGCAAGTCCCATCATGGCTTCTTTGCGCACTCTCCACTTAAAAAAAAAAAAAATTTTTTTCTCGTAATTTAAAAATGCCTCCTTATATTAATTCAGTAAAGTCTAGTTTCCCAGTTTTTTTATTCACTTTACACAATTTATTTTCATCATACCTCAGTTCCTGGATGTCAATCTGTAATGACTGTATGAAAAAACACAACTATCATTTTACTATATCTACTATGTCAAGCACAGACATCTATTAACGTGTATAAAGAATTTTAATGCTTTGATATACCCATTACCAACCCCTAAAAAACAAAACTCAATCACAATCTACTTAATGTCACTTAGAATGAGTAAGGGAAAGCATGCTACCAAATTGTAAAAGGCAAAGACAGTTAAGTGGATAAACTGTGAGCTATTCCTTATAGAGTTTTTTCCAAATTATGGTCTATATTAAGCATACCTGTATTAAAGGTATACATGACAATGGCTTTATCAGATGCTGAATGCAAAGACACATCAGTGGTTCATTTTGTATATCTGGCAAAGACGTTCAGGTATAAAGATACTCAACTATTTTCTAAAATAAATACATATCTGTTATAGTATACCTAACATTAATTATCTTGGTATGAGTTTAATCTTAAATTTTACATAAACACAGCACTATAATCAGTAGGGTGGAAGTAATATTAAGAACTTCATGAATCTGCGAAGATTATTAATTTTTCCTTTGCAGTCTGTCACTCACAGCAACATTTTTCTCTTGGTTTCTCTTTCAATTAATTACAGTAAATAATAGTTCTTATTTCATCCATCCACTGCATACATATTGAAATAAAAGACTTCAAAAGCTTTACTCATAAAATAAGAATTCAATATGTTTGTAAAAACTTTATCTCCAATTCCCTATCTTATCTCTAATTCCCGAAAGTGCTACTTTAGGGAAAATTTAAAGATATAGAGCATATTCTAATACTGCCAGTAACATAAATATATTTAATTATTTTTTGGTACTCAATATTTATATGAATGAATCAAGCAGTCCTATGATGAACACACCATGATGATCAAAAACATACATGAATTATGATCCCAATAATACACAAATACTTAGCTTAAATTCTAAGTTTAACTATGAAAAAGTTTACTTGAACACTTAGAAGGCTGTTATCCTACCATGATGCAAACCTCCTTTTCCTTCTTTACAGCTTTTGGCCTTTTCATTGTTTAATACCGTACTGAAATATTCAATAACAACAAGTCTTAATTTATCAACTAAAATAAGTTGCTCTGAATACCTATAGATTTGGAGGGAAAACCATGCAATTCCTGTCCATGTATTCTCCATCCACAACCCACATGATCAAAGAGAGAATTAAATGATGGAGATAGCACAATTGACCATACAAGTGACTTTCAAAATGTTGTGAAGTTTTTACCTAGTTAGAGCTATTCATATCTACCAAGAGACCTCCCACTTTCTTTGCTTATTAACCCCTAAATACACCAAAGATTTTCATCCTTCACCAAAATTACTCTTAAGTCTAAGTCTGTAAAATCCATGCCATCAAGGAAAGGCAAAGGGGAGGAGGGGAGAATAAATATTCACTGAAACACTTACTGAGTGCCTAATACATTCTAGGCAACATGGAATACAAATGTAAGACACAGTGCCCTCTTCAGAAGCCACTAACTAAAGAGTGGAGCTGTTCAGTGCTCTAGAAGGAAGATTTGGGGTCATGGGAGATAGGCTCAAAGCATGCTGCTCTGCTGGGGTTAGCTTTGCCATGCTGAAAACATTTTTGGGACTTCCCTGGTGGCGCAGTGGTTAAGAATCCGCCTACCAATGCAGGGGACACAGGTTCGATCCCTGGTCTGGGAAGATCCCACATGCAACTGAGCAACTGAGCCCGTGCACCACAACTACTGAAGCCCACGCTCCTAGAGCCCATGCTCCGCAACAAGAGAAGCCGCTGCAATGAGAGCATTGCACAGCACAACAAAGAGTAGCCCCCACTCGCCACAACTAGAGAAAGCCTGCATGTAGCAACAAAGACCCAACACAGCCATTAATTAATTAATTAATTAATTAAAAGAAAAAAGAAAACATCTTGTATTTTCCATTCCATAGAAATTATAATACAATCAGCTAGAGGACTATGAACTGATACCCATATGAAAGGAAAAAGAGAAAAGAGAAGTTGTGTTCAGAGGCCTTTTCAAAAGTCACTTACTAAAATTAGGGTACAGGTTAAACATCTGATTACTCTACCATTTAGAGGTGACCCATTTTGAGGATGAGAATAATCCTAATAAAGAAAAACTAATAAAATTTAATGTAACAAAAAGTAAAATCTTCTCATAAACATTATTTTAGATATTAAAATGCCTCCCCCCAAAAAGGGCTAATTACATTTAAATCTCAATATTTTCAAATGAAATACTATTAAACTTCAAGTATTCAAAATGCAAACCTACTAATAATTATTAAGCCTACTTACCCGTTTGTCTAATGTTCTCTCTCTCACAAAATTAAGTAAGTGATCATTGACCAGAAGAATATCCTTTTTAGCAGCTGTAACTATAGACACAATAACATCATGTCTAATAGCTTCCTCAGGGTCATGTGACCTCACTTTAAGATACTCTGAAAGATAAAATTTTATTTGATTAAAATGAAACTTTGACAACTAAAATGTTTGAAAAGATTGCATAAGATCTTTGAAAGTAAACCACAACAAAAACAAAACCTAAGTAGAAGGTTCAATATTTCAAAAACATTAGGAGTAGGTAAGAGAGAAAGGGAGAAAGAGAAGGAAGAAGGAAAGAAGGTCAGTCCTTCAGGCAAAATACAGTAGTTTACATGCAACTGAGTAGTAAATCCCCTCCCCATTTGTGGGACAGGGTAGTTAACTAAGGAGTTCCTAAACTCATTAATTCAACAAACCATATAAATGAACCAAAAAGTATATCAATGTTAAATATTTCACTTTTGTTTTTTAAATGGTTAAAATATTCAAGTCAAGTGGTTCTAATCGGAAAAGGCTAGAGAATTCAAGTTTCTATCCCTTAACTATGTAAACCCTTAGTGAGGTTATTGAAAGAGTAAAATTAAGGTAATGGCAGCCAAGAAATAGGATTACAGGAAAGACCGCAAGGCAATTCTGTTTAACTGAACTAAAAGGAAGGCCAAAGGGAAGACAGAAGAAATGAAACACTTAACAATTACGAGTGACTAGAGGAGAATCTTAAAGTCAAAAACATGGAAGTTCAGATCTGGCACTGAGAAAGCGGAAAGAAAAAATTAACAATCTTCAGTAATGATATATTAGGTTTAAAGAAGAGGTACCACAAGTGAACATAAATTATTATTCAGCTTTTTAATTATATGACCAGTAAGATAAAATTTCGTTGTTTGGATCTGGAGTAACATACATAGCCATGTCTACAAACAACAAACAGAGCTTATGATTGTGAATGGATTTACTTCTCAATAAATTAACAGTTAACAATATAATGCAAAAGCTCATAAAATCAATGCCCAGGTCCTAAGCCCCTCCACCTTGAGCATTCTCTACTAACAGGAACTATTTCAAAAAGTGTTTAAGACAATATGTCGCTAAAAAACTTCTGAAGAAATGGAAATATTATTTTATGTATCACAGAAAACAAGGCTATTTTTAGTATTGATTTCAAATGCCCCATGCTAAATATATCTCGAATTCATTTACCCCTCAAGATAAAGACAGGAGTTTTTATCTTTCGCTACACTTGTTTCAAATGTAATATGTATTATTATTTCAGGTGTCACTAAAAAATGGAAAAACCAATGACACACCATCGATTTTCAGATACATCCTCATTTCACTAAAACAAATCATTCATATTAAACAGGTATACACAAGAGCTATTAACTTGTAGATATTAACTGTGCAGAGGAAGAGAAAACAGGACAAAGAAGAAATTCTCAACAGTTAGCATGATGCAGCATCTAACAATACTCTTCCCAATATGGCTACGTCCCTCAAAACTTGGCTGAAGGCACAGGATGAAGCTCACAAACACACTATGGAGAAAAGAAGATAAATGTATGTTTTTAACATATTTATTTCAACTCACTCCTGAAACCCTAAGAAAATGTCTTTTAAAAGGGACAAGTAACAAGAGAAGAGATCATAGCAGAAGAGATTTCTCACCAAAATTTTGGCAGATGGATGACTGGTAAATGCCCAGAGACAAAAGAGAAGGATGAAACCTAAAAGGGAAAGAAAAGCCATAGACAAGCTCATTTCCAGGGTAGAAGAACCCTGAAATTCAAGGCACCAAGCAATGAGAAAGGCAGAGATGAAGACAGCATCTGAAAACATGGAGTGGAGTGGTTGAAAATCTGCATTAATAGTTAGACCCCTAGATTTTTCAAATCTGTCTTTTAGCCAACTCTAAAAATTAAAATGTGCCAGGAAGCTAGAGACTAGGAAATACATAACAAGATAAATGTTTCATAAAAAAATGAAACTGTACACTATCCTTTGATAAAGCAAAACATTCAAAACAATGAGAAGGACTAAAAAGGTTATTGGTGAAATTATTCACATCTAAAGTATATTTCAGACAGCTATAAAAAAACAAAATATCTATTATTTAGCCAAGAGTAAACAATGCATTGAAGCTCTGACTATAGAAAAAATACTTTAAAAAGATACAGACTATGTACAGAACTACTACAAATCAACAAGAAAAAAAAAAGACGAACAAGCCAATTAAAAAAGAATGGGTTTAAAATTTAAGCAGATACTTCATAAAAGAACATATGTATCAATATGCACATAAAAAGATGACTAATCTCATTAGTCATCAGGAGAATGCAAATTAAAATCACAACAAACATCAAGACCTATGAAAATGGCTAAAACCGAAAAGACTGACCATACAAAATGTTGGCAAGGATGCTGAACAACTGCACCCTCAAACATTTCTGGTGCAAGTGGGAAATAGTATAACTACTATGAAGAACTTGGTCATTTCTTATAAAGTTAAACATACATTTACCCTATAACCAGCAATTTTACTAAGTAGTTCCAAAGAGAAATAAAAACATAAATCCACAGAAACACTTATACAAGAATACTCACTGTAATCTTAATCATTATCACCCTAGACCAAAAACAACCCAGATATCCATCAAGAGAAAAAAAAATGGATATAAGCAAATTATGGTGTATTCATACAATGAAATACCACTCTATAATAAAAAATAAAGTAATAATACTTGGTGTCCCAAAGACACAAGCAATTAAAATTAAACTCCTGGTAGGATACTCTTTTCTGGGGAATCTGAATAGCCAAAGAGAAAGTATCTAAACTAAAGGTTTTCCAACAAACAACCCACCCTGATCACCCTACAGTGAAGTTCAGAGTGAACAATCCCATCCATACGCTCAGGGCTTTCTGAACAGCTTTTAATTTAGTCCCCCACTCTTAATAAAAGCCGACAGCCATGGACTGCCAAGCATTTGAGGAAAGCCTCTAACATGGAAAATACAGACAAAAGCAAATAAAAAGTGGGAAAAACAAGTGGGTGAAACAGACATTTTTAAGAAAAAGAAAACTCCAAAATACTATCATTAGTATTCTCAGAGAATACTGCACCCATAACACAAGAAAAGGGTGCTCCAGAGTAAAAGAAACATCCAGGATAAAAGAGAAGGAGGAAGAGAAAAGGAAGAAACAGACAGATACACACAGACACACCCATGCACGCACACGCACACACACACTCAGGGTCACACAGAAGGGGGGAGAAAAGAAGGGAAGGAGAGGGGGAAGGCAAAAGAGAGAGGAAGAACGGATCATCTTAAGATGAATGCTATAAATCAGAAGCTCACACACAGCGAGCAGTCCAAGTTCAGGTGTCAGCAGGTAGACAGAGGGTTCTCCAAGCAGGATATCTCCCAGAAAAAGCAGTTTAAAATGTACTATAAGTTGGTAAAATTTTAAAAAGAGTAAATAACTAAATAATAACAAGCAATAATATGAAATATGGGAAGGTAGTGCTCAGAGGTAAACCTTTCAAGGGTCCTGGATTGCTCAGAAAGAAGCTAGTGTTCTGATTAATTTCAGACTTTATTAATCAACTATGCAGTAAAAGCATGAAGGAGAATGTAACTTCCAAGCCCATATGGATAAAAAAGGAAAAATGAGAAGAAAACTAATCAGCTGGGCAGAAGAGAAGAAAAACAGAAATAAAAGAAGCGAAGAATAGGCATGCAAAATAGAAAACACAAAGTAAGATAGTGGGAATAAGTTCAACTATATCAAATTCAAATTATTTCAATAAAATTTTCAAATCACATAAGAATACTATATATAACTTATGTACCGATACACATGTGACATAGATAGAAAAACATGAACAGAATGCACAACAAATTTAATAGAGAGGTTACCCTCTACAGAAGTAGGAATGAGAGGAGTTTGTGAACAGCATTTCAACTGTATCTACAATTTACTTTCTTTTTTTAAACTCCTAAGCTAATACAGCAAAATGCTAACATTTCTGAGGAAGACAGTGGCTGCTGTATTCATCCATATTCTCTGAACTATTTCATAACTTTAAAAACCTTAACAGAGCAGCAACAGTCAGATACACAGTATTCTCATTACCATAAAAATGCAAAGTTCTGAAATACCTCATCAATATACAGATTTCAGAAAAGTTACCTCCATTAAGCATGGTTAAATTAGTTCATAAATTAATGACTCTCACCTAAGTTCTCAAAATATTAAAGACGACTGAAGTCCCATAATCTATGCAAAGTCAAGACCTGTTCAAATCCAAATGCCTGAAATACTTGTAGAATTGTTCTTAAATTAAGAAACCAATATTGTCTCTGATAATGCTACTTTTTATGTAAGTGCTTCTAGGTACTATGTAGGTACTAGGAGGTAAAAACTGTAGCTTCACCATGATGATGAACTGAAACAAGAAGACTTCACTGAGAATAATCACAAAAAACAACCAAAAATAAAAAGGTTTTTTTTCCTATATATAAAACCAATTTTTTTCACCAAAGAGCATCTAGGAATATTTGCCATTATGGGTATACAGTACCTGTTAAGTCCTTTGCTAAATCAGGATGGTTCATGAGACAATGGCTAGCAAATTTCACACATTCCAGGCGGATTGGTACATGGATATCATTAAACCTGATAAAATATAAAGTCACAGAGTAATCTTTAAAATAAGAGAGATAAGTGTTTATCCTGCACTTAATTTATATTTATTTCTCTAATTAAAAGAAAAAACAATTTATACAGGATAATTCAAAGCAGAACCAGACTATTTTAACAAAGTTTTTGATATACTATGTATGTAAGAATGCTTTGGAACCTCTATATTAAACTAGGTCAATCTCCTGTGAGAACTATGTACTTTTAATGAGGATGTTTAAACAGTACACATTTGGCTCAAATACAAGAACTGGAATGACAAAATTTTTCCTATAAATAGTATACTTTCTTTTTTGTTATATATAAATTTATTTATTTTATTTTATTTATTATTATTTTTGGCTGTGTTGGGTCTTTGCTGCTGCGCGCGGACTTTCTCTAGCTCAGGCGAGCAGAGGCTACTCCTTCATTGTGGAGCGCAGGCTTCTTATTGCGGTGCCTTCTCTTGTTGTGGAGCATGGGCTCTAAGCATACGGGCTTCCGTAATTGTGGCATGCAAGCTCAGTAGTTGTGGCTCGCAGGCTCTAGAGCACAGGCTCAGTAGTTGTGGCATATGGCTTAGTTTCTCCGCAGCATGTGGGATCTTCCCGGACCAGGGCTCAAACCTGTGTCCCCTGCACTGGCAGGTGGATTCTTAACCACTGCGCCACCAGGGAAGCCCTATAATTTCAAATGTATCTGTTTATGCAAGTATATTGTGTATACATAATACACATATACATTATTAAATCCCACACTGAAAAGAAAGCTTTTCCTCAAATTATTCTTTCTTAAATACAGAACATTCACAAATGTTTGGTAGATCTTGCACTAAACCCTGTATTACTTTATATGACTCTAAAATTGTGCCGAAATTACTCCTATCTATCATAATTATTTCCACTAATATCAAAGCAAATTTTTACATGTATATGTAAATACCTTAGTATGTATCTCTAAAAAGTTAAAACTCTTTGGTTGATAAGTCATTTAAGTATCTTTTACTCATATTTTCCCTATCTTTTTCTTTTCCTTTGTAATCTGGTGGAGCAACTGTTTTGTGTTTGTGTGTGTAGTGTTTTTCCACAGTTTAGATTTTGATAATTTTATCATTCTGATGTCAATTAACAGGTTCCCCTCTCTCCTAAATCCTGCACATTAGGAATCAGGTCTATAGACTTGATCATATTCAGGTTCATTTTTTAGCAAGACTACTTGATAACGGCATTGTGTTCCTCCACCAGGAAGCACATGATGCCTAGTTGTCTCTAAACCATTGATGTTCAAAGCCTATACACATAAGTTCATTGTGGACTACAAAGCAGTGGTTTTTTTTTTTTAATCTTAAGTAACAACAAGAACGTTAAAGTGAAGCAAGAATTTTCCATTTGACATTTTCATGTCTTAATTCTCGAAGACCAAAAAGTCTCCAAATCTTGTATCACCTAATACCATAAGAAACAAAATTTAGCATCAAAAAGAAAAAAAGTTTTCTGAAGGAGCAACAAATTACTCATAAAAGATTATTATTAGGAAACAAACTGCTTTATGAAGTACACTCAAAAAAATCTAGTCTATAAAATCTAGTCTCTGGGGTTTCCCTGGTGGCGCAGTGGTTGAGAGTCTGCCTGCTGATGCAGGGGACACGGGTTCGTGCCCCGGTCCGGGAAGATCCCACATGCCACGGAGCGGCTGCACCCGTGAGCCATGGCCGCTGAGCCTGCGCGTCCGGAGCCTGTGTTCCGCAACGGGAGAGGCCACAACAGTGAGAGGCCCATGTACCGCAAAAAAAAAAAAAAAATCTAGTCTCTGGTCTCATATAGTTTCCTGAGTGTTCTGAACCCAAGTACTCAATCCCTATACACTTTAACCTTTCTCAACTAAACATGTACCAAATAACCATTAAAAGTTAAAAAAATACTTTAAAATACTTTTAAAAAATACTCTAGCTCCCTAAAATTGGTAATAATGTGCCAGTTTTATGTCATTAATAAAACAAGGAAAAATTACAATGTAATCAAAAGGTAAAAAGTTTAAATTAGAATTTTTCCTCCTAAAATCCTATAAAGTCTGGCTAATCCAAGTCCTGATTTAAAGATATATTAAATGTCTATATGTATTTGTTTTAGCACATTAAATAAAACAGATTTTGATTTTAGTTGCACAGTTTAATTAAACAAACTGTTTTGCCCTCTTGCTCATTGTATTTAAGGGGAAAAAGTCTAGAAATCAAACTCAAAATGACAACGGGCTAATATTTATTAGTTTAACACACCTTGTTAAATATTATTATTGAGCTACATAAGAGATAAGAAAACAGAGTAAGAATTTAGGGCTTAACATATAAAGGCTTATATGATTTGACAAATTAGAAAAACAAGACCAGAAGAGATTATCTTTATCATAATCATTGATAGTTCTGGTAACAAAATGGAAAGAAAAGTGGTGATGACAATGCAAATATTTCAATACAAAGAAAATAGAGTAAGAATCTCAAACCTATTTACTTGTTTATTTATGACTTAATTGCATGATTTGTTATAAGCATAATTATAAAAGGGAGAAAAAAATCCCCCTCTATCCTCAGGGTCAAAGTAGGTTTCAGCCAGGGCACTTGGAAGTGGTTTTAACATATTCAAGGTCGGGGTATCTTTAGAAAAGTAATAAAATAAACCCCTCTCACAGAAAAAATATAGAAACACATTCAAAATTTTGCAACCGATTTCAGGAGGTTTGTGGATCATTAAAAGCATATAAGAAGCCCAGGTTATCATTTCCTCATTATCATAAGAAACGTAGAAAGGAGGTTAGTAGGAGGAATATACATAATCATTTATTTATTCACTCTATAGATACCCTTTTATCTTTACAATGTCTCCAAATAATCTAATTAAATACAATTTCTTTGTGGAGAGGCTGTATCTCACCATGATGTATTTCTGGTTGGAATTAATCAATCACTGCTATGTAACAATACACTTCAATTTCATGATTATAATACTTTGTGAGACAGTTTTTTTAATGTATCATCTTTTAAAAATCACTGAAGACAAAATAAGAAGGGGAAACTGTAAATATGGCCAATCGCCATCAGCATTCAAGAATTTCAAAATATAAAACCCCTCATCTTTATGATTTCAGAAAACAATCTTAAATGTGGGTGCTGTTTTAAAATAGTAAGTAGATATAAACACATATTACTTTTAAACAGGACACCAAAATCATATACCTGCCCAAGTAACACTGCCAAAGTGGTTTGTTTTGAGAAGCCAATTCTGAATCCTTTGCCCCAAACATTTTTGCCAGTAGTTTAACAACCTGAAGGCGTTCCTCATTATCATTGCTCTAAAACAAAACACAACCACAGCTTTAAAACCATGAGGTAGATACACTGAGAATAATTTTTCCCCTGATTTCCCTTAATCTCCAATTCCACAGAAAACTTTTTACGAACTTCAGCTGAAAAATTATACATAAAAATGTTTAATATATTTTTCATAAAATTAAATGTTACCTTAAATATTCTAATCATTTCAAATTACATTAAAGGAGTACTCTCCTACATGAAAATTCATCCCAAAGTCTGATTAAAATTTAGTGGCCTCTCCTACAACTGAGGCTTGTTTCCATTCAAAATCAAAATCAAAAACTAACTTGCATCAAACCTACTTGGGACCCTTGAAAAACTATTCGTGGTCTTTAAGAATAGACACTGATAGAGGCCAATCCTACAGTAAACAGAGACTTATGTATGAAGGTACTTGTTAAGCCCTTTGTAGAAATAAATATGCACTAAATCTCCCAACAGGAGAGTCCGTTCATCTACATACACCAGATTCATAATGGGAGTTCAACGACATGAGGAAGCCTTACACATGCAAAAACTAAAGTTTCCACTTTATAGAGAAAATGGGTACTCTGGGGATGAGAACTCATTTATTACTGCTTTTGGTACCTCCAACAAATGACAATATTTAAATGAATGAGCCAGCTACAATACTAGACTTGAACACAAAATGTGACAGAGATTGTTAAAAGCACTAATATTCAAGGTACTTGGATGGCACTGTACAGATCTTTTAAATTTTAAACCAATGCCAAAGCCCAGCATTTAAAGCCCCCATGATATGACCCGACTCATCTCTATTATTTGATTATTCCTCTAAAAAAGTATGTTTTACCCCTGGCTGCACGTTAGAATGACCTATAAGGCTTTTAAGAAACAACAAACAAACAAAAACTCATGTCTGGACTCCACTGCCAGAAATTCTGATCTGGGTTAATGCCTGGACATCTGTTTGTTTATTAAGGCTCCACAGATGAAGATTCTAATGGGCAGCCAGGAATGATTTAAACTTAGTTTATGCTACCATGCAACTGTAATTCTTTGTGTTCTGCAAATTCACCCAGCACCTTCCTACCTCTATATGATTCTGCATGCTGTTTCCTTTGCTTCAATTGTATGCTGTCTGTATCTTTTATGATATTTATAATATTTGGCCTCTTATTAGATATGGATTTTTTCCTCTTCCTCCCATAATAGATGTTAAATTTGCTGAAAGCAGGGATGATAATTCTTATTTTTGTATTTCTTACAGTATTCAACATTTTTATTAGAGAAAATCAAAACAACAAATAATTAAAGGTATGACTGCCTTTTGCCTCATCAAAATTGCTAACTACATGAAAAAAGGGGGTAGAGGAAGGCCAGTGAATCAAATGTCTCACTTGAGAAATACACCAAAAATATGCCCCAGCATAAAATGAGAATAATTATTTGCTGCATTTTGGGGTATTTACACTACCAACATAAACTGTTTATTTTGTAGTTTTCAAAGAGACAAATTCAAATTTTTAGAAACAAGAAATACAACACAGAAATCATTTAAAAACTTTTCTGGGTGGTACAGTGGGGTTCATCAAACAGTATTAATTATAACCAGATTTATTTAATCTTTATGTAATAATTTGAAAGAGAAAACATGCCCCAAATCTGCAAATGAAACTCAATTTTATGGCATAATTTAATGGTAAGGCAATAAGGACGTTACCGAAAGATTCCAGAAAGCCATGTGAAAAGCAAAGGAGCTTTCAAGATAGGCTAGGCAAGTACAAGATAATATTCATAAAGGGAAAATATTTCACCCTATGTGGATAACAGATCCTAAACTATTTTTATGGCACATCAAGGGGTCTTGGGAACCACTATAAACTATGCCTTAAAAATGTAAAAGTTTGATGTATACCCATGACCTCAAAAGTTAGTCACAACCCAGAATTTATCTGGAAAACATCTGAAGGAAAATATCATTCTGCTAATCATTAATTCATCAGATTTTATCTGCTAGGCACCATGCCAGGCACTGGAGATACACAAATATGCAAGGCACAAACATGTAAATAAATAACAGTAATACCACCACATGGGTAACATTCAGTTAAAACCACTATAAGGATTAAAAATCCACAAGTAATGTGCTTTGCTAATCTGGTTGATAAAACCATATTATTTTTAGAATAGTTACCTTCAATTTAAATTCAAGCTGGGGTAAAACTGAGAGCAGCAAATGACTATCAATATTATAGAGCTCCAAAATTAAGTCAAAGACATGCTCTGACAAATCGCTGATAGATGTTTTCCCAAGCATCAGAACCTGATTAAAAAACTTTTGAGAAAGAAAATTTATCATTAATAGAAACAACATAGATAAAGTGAATTTTCTGAAATTTTATTATTCAATTAAGTTCATTATCGTTCTATACAGAGTCAAAACAGGCATACCAAAACATTTTCTAAGAAGGTGGGAAATCACTACTGGCTACATAAAAACATAAAACATGGAATTCACCTCATACATATTAAAAGACAAGCAATTTGTACTGACTCATCAATTAGCATATCAATAAATACCCTACCTACCAAATACACTTTATTCCACATTATGGTACTTACCATATTTTATCCTATATTACAGTTATTTGTACACATGTCTTAGTTTCTCTACTAGATAAATTTCTTAAGGGCAAGGGATCACATTTTGTTCACCACAGCAGTATGGGAGACAACAGTATGGAAGACAAAGCCTTACACCTTCATAGTAGAAACCAATTCCATTTTTAAAATACGTAATTTTATATTTACAAGGCAAAACAATATCTTTCTAATACTTTGTCTTCTTTTATATTCTGATAATGTATACATACATACAAAGTTTATAGCACTAACTAAAGTCCAATTAAAAGCACATACAAACACAAGGAAAATCCAAATGTGAACAATTTTTTTCTATAAGCAGCCAGCACTAACTAGTTCCCACACTCAGATCATTCATCATATTACTACTGAAAATGGTAAAAATACATGGCATAATGATCAAGTTCCTTTCTATTTAAAGTCTTCCAAATATGTAAAAAATTAACCCAGAGCATATCCCACATATTCTCCACAGTATCTTTTATCTCCTTGAAGAAGGAATTAAGGATTCTTTACACCACACAAGCTGCCCTGATCTCTTCTTTCTGTGACAGTTAACAAACAACTTGCCTTAATCAGGTTTTCTATCTGGAAAGTACAGTCAGGACTTTACATTTCAATGTCTCCTCTGATTACTTTTAATTCCTGTGTTGTTCTTAAGTTTTTTAGATCTATGAACCTGTACCAACCACCTAGCCATGAAGGGATAAAAAGAAAAAAATTCTATTCTACTATTCTTTCTTTATTGGTTTTAAAAATAACTCGTCTGTCCTCCATGTTCATCAATTTTGTGGGAAAAGAATTTCATGACACCAAAGGTTAAATTCTCATTCAAGTTGAAGATAAAGTGGCTTCGTTGTTTCCATTTGAAAAATTTCTCCTGTTTAAAAATGATAAATCTACCTTTCTTAACAGAAAATAATCCTTTCCAATCTGGCCATCTTGGTGATCAAACCATCCTCTTCTTCTATCAGTCTGGGGAAAACTCGTTTGAAAATGGAAAAAAACAAAACAACAACAACAACAAAAACCCAGTGTAACATCCTACAAATTCCATCAAAAACATTTATTTGACACTTATAATCTCCATCTATCTCCAAATCAGTCTTCACTGTATAACAAGAACCTGGTACACTGCCTGACAGAGGTATCCAAAATAGATTCAATAAATGAATGAATGATATGTAACAGGTACTATAATACAACTATAGGTGAAACAACCTTCCTGAGGGTATACAATTCAGTGAAGAAGCAGATACAGATTTGAATAAAGTATTTCCTACCAAAAAACATTAGTCTTTTACTTACAAATGGTAACTAATTTTCACATAACAAATTAAATTATAACAACTGCCTCCTAATGAAAAGAGTAAGAGGAGTAAGTTAAAGGTCGATAAGAAATTCTACCTTAGATTTAAATGATCAATTTTAATTACAAAAGTGCTTTCACATCAGTTAACACATTCTCTACCATCACCCCAAGCGTTATTAACTCCAATAACTAAGGCTAAGTGAGATTAAGCAAATTAACCAAATTTTACCTACATCAAGACAAGCTTGATACATTTTTTCAATCCAACAAAATACTTTTGTGCTATCCCCTAAAACTTGTGATTAAAAAGATCTGGTAAAAAATAACAACATTACCAAGAAGTGATCCATGTAGGTAATTTTTTGAATTGTCACTATATACTTTTTCGTTTTGATACTGTTGTACCTTATATATATATATATATATAGAGAGAGAGAGAGAGAGAGAGAGGGGGGGGGCACACACACACACACACACACACACACACACACACACACACACTTTAGTTTCATGAGTTGTCAAGTTACAAAAAAATTTATTTTAAAAAGTAATCTAGGGCTTCCCTGGTGGCGCAGTGGTTGAAAGTCCCCCTGCCAATGCAGGGGACACGGGTTTGTGCCCCGGTCCGGGAAGATCCCACATGCCGCGGAGCGGCTGGGCCAGTGAGCCATGGCCGCTGAGCCTGCGCGTCTGGAGCCTGTGCTCCGCAATGGGAGAGGCAACAACAGTGAGAGGCCCGCATACCGCAAAAAAAAAAAAAAAGTAACCTGTAACGCCACAGTGACTTCTTAAGTTCTATATATGTAAACAACACTGTATATAAAGAGGAAACTTGAATGTGTCTATATGCATGAGACTGAAAAAAGACACAAGTAAAAAAGAGACAGAAGTGGGGTTATTATTACCTTGACATCCTACCTCTATTTCTGCTTGCTAATTCTTTACTAGGAAGATATATGAATAATGGCTATTACATGTACAAATGCAAAAAGGCTGAGAATGATTTTTACACTGTACTAAAATCCCACAAGGAATTAAGCTCACCAGAAAGCATTTTACATGTAACTGTAGATTTATAAGGGAGAAGAGGAGAAAAAAAAAAGCAATTCTTAATGACTTCTTAGCTAACTCTCAAATAAGTCAAGGGACAAGAAAACAGGGAAAACAGAGAGAGATAAGAAAATAATGACACAGTAATGGGAATAAATAAATATATAACTGAAAGTGCTCAGACTATTCTACTAATCCTGTGCCTCTTGCCCCCAGCCCCAGCTTCTGATAAAGACATAACCAAGTATGGATGGGGCTGTCTATTTCTGTAGGTAAGGCAGGAAATTAACCTGAGGTTTAAGTGACAGTGAAATGTTTTTACCTTGATTTACCTGGGAATGGTGAAAGTATTTCCTTCATCCTTCTTTAACTTTTATTATAAATACTTTCAGACATACACAGATGTTGAGAGAATAGTATAATGAACCTAATCACCTCATTCTATCTTGATTTTTTTTTCTTTTATTACCCAATCAAATATTTATTTTCCCAATCCTAGAAAATATATCAACGTAGTATAGTGTTAATTTCTTATTTTTATGCCAGAAAAAGGCATCAGAAAAAGGTAAGTGTTCCCCTAAAAAACATCTGGCTCAGCAATATCAACTTAAATAAATGACCACCAGGAGGAGCTCACCTAAGTGTATCTAATGGCCACAGAAACAGTCATTCACAGGCACTTGAAGCAAAGGAAAAGGGAAGGGGCACTTAATAACGGAATGCTTAAATCTGGTTCTACAGATTTCAAGTGCCATTATGTCATAACAGGAAGAACTCAATCCACTCAATCTAACCAATTTACTGCAGCCAATACCCAAGACTCACAAAACTTGCAGAAATCAATATTTAGAATTCCCTGGCAATCTGACTGGAGCTATTAAGACAGGTTACACAATTTAATTCTCCAGATTCTGAAAGTCCACCCTCCAAAACAATTTCTTTACAAATTAAATACATTTTTCCAAATCATCATGTGCTCACAACTATTTAAGGTCATAAGCCAGTAACAAAAACTGGAATTTACCATAGTACTGTTCCATAAAGTATATTAATTTTCAAAGTACATCTTTTCATGATGTATTTTTATATACTAAATTAAATTTTGTATTTCTTCAAGACAAATTCTCCAATAAACTTCAGGAAAATTAAGTACATAAGTAATTATAAAAGGCTTTCTTTCTCACTTTTTTCAAGAAGACAGATTTACATGTTTAGATGTGGGTAAAACTGGAAAGCAGGTGGAGAGACAGACCAGCTACACAATTCCAGAGGCCAACATCAAGACTGCATTCTAGATTTGTTCCAGTAGGTACCATTCACATGGAAAACAATGTGAATGGTGCCACCTAGAGTTGTGCAACTCAACAGAACTATGGGGGAAAAATTAAAACTTATAATAAGCTTCTATCAGTGAATCTATCAGATAAAATACATTTCTTCTGAAAATAAATAGAAGATCATTAACCATAAATAAGTAGATTTGAGATGATAATGAAAGGGCTCATTTCATTGCAATTCTTCCCCCTTCTCAGAAAAGGTAGATTTATATGGAATCTACCCCAGGGAGAGCAAGATAGGCAACTTTCACCACACCGCTGTTATTCATACTTGCCTTCAATTTTTATGTCTTGATATTAGTTCATATCTTCTTCTTATACAAATCAATTTAATTTCCAAAAAGCTGTAAGCAACTTCTCTGAATAATGATAAGTTCCATAAGATTTATCTAATTACATTTAACTCCATTTCCAAGAATAGAAACAGTATATCTTGCTAACCAAAATAAAAACTGTTTTAGTTCCTAGGCAATTTGAAAGAGAGAAATGAATGAACAAATATGAGAGCTAATTTTCTAGAAAGTATTAACCAATAATAATTTTAAATAAGGAGAAAGAAAATACACTTAATTATTAAAACAATACAAAATGTTAAAGTATGAATCACTTGCCGAAATTCTGCTTTTAGCAGCGTTTAAAATTTTGGCTAATCTTTCTGACAACCAATTGGACAAGTAAAACTTACATTGGTAATATATGGTTCAATAGCTTGAGCTGTCCTCTTCAGTAAAGCCTTTGCCAAATCATATGCTTGCTTGTTTAAATTCTGAAGAAAAAAAAAACAGTATCTATATTATACACCACTAAATATGAAAAAGGAAATATTACCTGTATTTAAAAAGCTACTGTTAAGTCAATGAATGAGAAAACTGTTTAAGATTCAATTCGAATAAAAGGGCGACGGCAAGGCCACTTTTCTCCTAAGACTAACTGGTCTAGTAGATCTTAAGATCCCTTCCAAGCAAGGATAATTATATTCTCTTCATATCTTATTCACAGCATAAGGTAAACCACATAGAAAAGGTCAATAAATGTTTATTAGACAGAAAAGGAGATACTGAGTCACTGTAAAGCTAGTTGTAAAGTCAAATCTGTTCAGCTGAGTATAAATACAGGCTATTTCACTCCAAGACCAAAAGAACCAAAACATCATAAGAGAATGAACTGGGTCCTAGTGCGGGCAGAAATGGGGAATCCTCAGGTGGCGAAAGACAAAAGAGTTTGGGGCAGCTATGGGAAAGAAGATTTTCCCAAAGCACATCTCAGAGCATAGGGAAGCCCAAGGATATAAGAAACATAACAAGGGAATCCCCTGGCCGTCCAGTGATTAGGACTCAGCGTTCTCACTGCCGGGGCCCCGGGTTTGAGCCCTGGTCAAGGAACTAAGAAACCACAAGCCATGCAGCACTGCCAAAAAAAAACCAAAGAAACATAGTCAAGTATGAAAAGAAAAAAAGTACAAGAAACAATACCTTAAGAATATATGTTTCTAAGAGATTTTGATGATGGAAAGAATCATGACCAAAGATCTGAAATGGAATCACTATTCCAGTTCAAACATATTACAGACAGCAGGAAAATTGTATATATCCTGAAACTCACATTCAGCGTATTTTTAGATTTATCTGCATTGATGCTTTGTATTGTATCATTTCATTAATATCTAACTGCTGTTTAGTATTTTCATATATAATATGCTACAGCTTATTTACTCATTCTCCTATTCATAGACATTAAGCTGTCTTGTATTGATACATGCCTCCTTGTGCATATAAGAAATAATTTTCTATAAATACTACCTTTGCCATTTTTCAAATGAGCTGTTTTGTCTTGTTCTTATTTGTAGAGTTTCTCTATACACTAAACATTTGCCAATTACATGCACAACATATCTTAGAGCCTATACCTATGTTTTTACAATGCTTATGGTATCTTAAGACATACAAAAGTTTTCATTTTAATATAACCAAATATATTAATCTTTTCCTATTTGGCTTGTGCACTCTCTATATTTTTTAAATTCTTTTCTATATTGAGGTTAATTCGTTGTTTTATATTTTCAAATAAAATTTCAAAGATTTGCTTTTCAGATTTAGATCTTTATTCTGCCCATAATTTATTTTTATGCATGGTGTGAAATAAGAATCTTATACTATTTTCCATATGGATATTCAAGTCCATTATTCCCTCCAATGACTTCCCTGTAATACTCACACTCTCAAGTTTCTATACAACCATGTACCATTTGTAAATTTTCCATTACTTCCATATGTCCCTTTGTCTATTACTGCCTGATTACAGTCAAAGAGACATATGGAAATAATGTCTTAACACCAGGTAAGATAAGTCCCCACTTTCTTATTCTTCAAAAACCAATTTGTCAAACTACACACACATGCACATATACACACGCAATACACATTCACAATTTCTATTTTGATTAGGTTATCTATTAGTATGTAGAGGAATGAAATTATTGTGATACTGAGTTTCCCATCACATAAACAATTATAACAAATCATGCAACATATTTAAGTCGTCTCTTACACTTCTCCAACAACTGTAATAACTTTGAACATTAAGGTCATGCACATTGTTAATAAATTTCTAAGTAGCTCAAGTCTTTGTTAAAGATACAAATAAAAATTTTTTGAAATTATACTAACAGATTTTTATATATTGATCTTATATCTAGCAACTCTGCAGAATTTTCTTATTTGGTCTAGAAACTAATCTGTACATTGTTTTGTGTTTTCTGCACAGGCAGTCATAACATCTGCAAATAATTTCAGTTTTGTCTCTTCTTTCTAATCCTTTTATCTTTTCTCTTGTTTTACTCCACTAACTTAAGGCTTCTAGTTTAATGCCGATTCGAAATAGCATACTTGACTTTTTCCTGAGTAGAAGTGACATCTTGAGAATGTTCCTAACTTCAAAGAAAATCCTTCAGCATTTCACCATTAAGTGCAGTTATCATACATAACCTTATCAATTTAAGGAAGTTCCTTTCTATTTCAAATATGCTAACAATATTTTTTATCATAAGTTATACTGAATTTTATCAAATGGTTTTCTTATACATCTACTGATTATTTTTTCTCTTTGTTCTGTTAATTTCCACAAATATTTTTTAATGTTAATCCATCTTTGAATTCCTAAAATTTAGCCAATTTGCTCATTACCAATATTACTTTATATCATTCTGGATAGTGTCCAGTATTATTTTATATTGGATTTACATGAATGTATTATAAATTAAATTAGCCTATTATCCTCCTTTCTTGAACTTGGTTTTCTCTAGTTTTCCCTATGAAGACTATATTCTGCTCATAATGTGAATTGTGGAGCATGCCTTCCTCTTCTATAATCTGAAAAAGTTTGCTGAATATCAGGACTACATGGCACTTAAATGATTAATAGAAATCTCCTGGTGATGTGTTTAAATTCCTTCATAGTTGGTTTGAGTTCTGCTGCTGTTGCTATTATTACTGTCATCGTTGTTTAGGAGGAAATATTTTTGTTTGTTTTATGGATATAGTTTTTAAAACCAATTAAATTTCTTTTATTGGTTAAAGGTTATTCAAGATTTTCTCTCTTGAGAAAAATTGGCAAGTTTTATTTTCTAGAAATTTGTTTTGTCCAACTCCAAATATGTTAGCATAAAATACTGTTCATGGAATTGTTTTTTGATCTTTTTAATGCCTGCTGTTCCTCATTTCATTCTAAAACTGTATATTAATACCATCTCCCTTTTTCTGACTCAAACTGCCAAGGGTATGCCTATTTAATATACTTTTTGAATTACCAACTTTAGGTTTTTCTGAAATGTCACTGTGTTTTTCTATTTCATTCATTTCTGTTCTTCATGGTTTACTTTCTTGTACGGACTGTATATTCTAACGATACTTTTATAATTTCTTGAACTGGACACTTTAACTATAAAGTTAGATTAGGGCTTCCCTGGTGGCACAGTGGCTGAGAGTCCGCCTGCCGATGCGGGGGACGCGAGTTCGTGCCCCAGTCCGGGAAGATCCCACATGCCGCGGAGCAGCTGCGCCCGTGAGCCATGGCCGCTGAGCCTGTGCATCTGGAGCCTGTGCTCCACAACAGGAGAGGCCACAACAGTGAGAGGCCCGCGTACCGCAAAAAAAAACAAAAAACAGAAAACTAAAGTTAGATTAAAACAACATTTAAGTTGAATCCCACAGGTTTTAATATGTATCATTTTAATTATTATTTCTAAATTTCTTATAACTGCCATCATGATTTGCTCTTTTGACAGATTAATTATGAGTGCTAGAGGCTTGTTAGTTTTTTGTTTTAAAATCCTCAAGAACTGTTGGTCTATTTGACTTATAATCAATTGGAAATGTATTAAAATGGCCACCAAATTGTGAGTTTGTTTCTCCTTATAATTCTTCCAATGTATGCTTTATATATTTTGAGCCTATGTGAATACAAGTTTAGGCATCTTCCTGAGAACTAAAACTTATCATTGTATAACTCCCTTCTTTACCTGGTAAAGACTATAACATCTAAAATCAATACAAGTTATTTCAGTTTTCCTTCAGTTACTATGTGCCTGGCATGGCAAATCTTTTCTCCATCCTTTTAGTGACAACCTTTTTGTGACAGTATTTTTGTTATCTCTTATTAACAATGACCAGTTGAATTATTTTTAATCTAATCTGACAACCTGAAGTAGTAAATTTGGGCCATTTACATTTATTGTAATTCTTCCTTGCATTGTAATCCTTAAAATTTTAACATGAATACTTCATTTAAAGTTCAAAGTAGGGCTTCCCTGGTGGCATAGTGGTTAAGAACCCACCTGTCAGGGACTTGCCTGGTGGCACAGTGGTTAAGAATCCACCTGCCAATGCAGGGGACATGGGTTCGAGCCCTGGTCCGGGAAGATCCCACATGCCGCAGAGCAACTAAGCCCATGCGCCACAACTACTGAGCCTGCGCTCTAGAGCCCGTGAGCCACAACTACTGAAGACCGCGCACCTAGAGCCCGTGCTCCGCAACAAGAAGCCACCACAGTGAGAAGCCCACGCACTGCAATGAAGAACAGCCCCCGTTCACCGCAACTAGAGAAAGGCCGCACACAGCAATGAAGACCCAACACAGCCAAAAATAAATTAATTTAAAAAAAATAATAAAGTTCAAAGTAAATCAATAGCTCTATACTCCTAATCATCAGCAAGATCATATCACTCCTTGACTCTATTAGGCCATTCAATCTTACATGTTATTTTTATCCAGTGGTTTAGGACCATTTTGTTAAAATCCCTTTAATTAATCATTATAATTATTATTGCTACTGTTTTTGTTTTATATATTAGTTCTTATTTAGAGCATTTCATTGTTCACCAATACTTCTTACATTTCACTTCTTTCAAGTTCAATTTCCATTATTCTGAAGTACTCAAATAGTAGTTCTTTCAGGAAGGATCTATTGACAAGTTGTATATTTAATGTCTTAATTTCACTCATATTGGATAGCAACTGTGTGCCAGCATATACAGTTTTTATCTCAGTACTTTGGAAATATAGGTCCATTATGTTCTGGCATCTATCCTTGCTACTGAGAACTCAGCAATCAGTTTAATGTTTATTCCTTGTTAAGGGCTATGTCTTTTCCCTCTGGATGCTTTATAGATTATTTCTATTTTGTCATTCTACAAATTCTCCAGGATATGCCTACACTGGGATTTATTTTTATTTATTCTGTTCATGACACTTTTGTTACCTAACTCATAAATTTACGCTTTTCGTCAGTTCTAGAAAATTTTAAGCAAATATCTACTTGAATATCATCTCTTCTCCATTCTTACTCAGTGTTCTGCATCACTTTTAAATATACTGGACCTTTTCATTCTACCGTTTATGTTTTCCTTAACTTTACCTCACTGTATCTGTACAATTTCCTCAGCTCTATCTCCTAGTTCTCTAAATATCTTTTATAATCCAAAAAATATTTTGATGTCTATGAACATTTTTCATTTCTACTTTTCCTAACCATACCTCTTCTCCTTTCAGATGTCTAGCTATCATACTTTTTAACTCTTATGCTTCTAGAGATTAAAACATAAAATTGTTATCTTTAATCCTTTTAAAGGTATTTAATATTTTTATCCAATAAATATATTATCTGAATTTTTACTTAGTGTCTGATTTTCAGTATTGACGGACTTCTTAAAAGTTTGGGAATTTTGGATTATGAGGTCATTTTTAATGAAGCATTATATTTGTGAATGCTGTGTAGCTATAAATTTAAGTTATATCTTTCCAGAAAGGTCTTAATTTTGCAGAGACCTGTATGCTGGTGAATCACAGAACCATATTTCCAACTGCTTACTCAAGTGTTAGTCATTTTCGAAGAACGAAACATACAAAAACACACACAACACACACACAACTTGATTAATATCACCCAGGCAAGAAATACTTGTGTCATCAACATATCCTTTTCTCCAAGTTAGTAAAGACTTCCCCTTTTTTTCTGTGTTTTTTTTGCAGTACGCAGGCCTCTCATTGTTGTGGCCTCTCCCATTGCGAAGCACAGGCTCCGGACGCGCAGGCTCAGCGGCCATGGCTCATGGGCCTAGCCGCTCCGCGGCATGTGGGATCTTCCCGGACCGGGGCACGAACCCGTGTCCCCTGCATCAGCAAGCAGACTCTCAACCACTGCGTCACCAGGGAAGCCCAAGACTTCCCTTTTAATTTCACCCCTCCCTGCCATCTACACTATCACTGTCTTTTACCTAAGGCCTTATTTGGTTGTGTATCTCCCAACATATAAAGTTATATAATAGCATCAAAGTAGCTATTAATGTGTTCCTTGAAACATAATCCTATACAAAACTGAGTTATTACAGATACTTTATCACATGTACTGTTATTTCTTCATTTAATTAGTGACTAATAAGTGTATCATGTTTTATTAAACACAAGTGATGTACATTAATATTAATCAATAAAAGTCTCCAGGGCTTCCGTGGTGGCGCAGTGGTTGAGAGTCCGCCTGCCAATGCAGGGGACACGGGTTCGTGCCCCGGTCCGGGAGGATCCCACGTGCCGCCGAGCGGCTGGGCCCGTGAGCCATGGCCGCTGAGCTTGCGCATCCGGAGCCTGTGCTCCGCAACGGGAGCGGCCACAACAGTGAGAGGCCCGCGTACCAGAAAAAAAAATAGTAATAATAAAATAAAATAAAAGTCTCCAAAACTATAAAGCAGGATAAATTGCATTTTAAACGTAAGCAAATTCTGGACCCCAATATTAACAAGCTTTCGATACATTTCAATATATATTGCTACTTACCTTATGGGCAGGTACCAGATTTACCAAAACTGTATCCAAAAGCTCCTGAGATACTGTATCACCTTCACAAATAATAGAACTCATGAGATCCACCATATGCATATGAACTTTCTGATTGTGGCCATTGCTGAAATTCAAAATTGATATTTCATTTAAAGTATATCTGAAATTTATAAGATTTAATCATAACATAGAACATTACACTTTATTTCAAACTGATACTCAGGTATTAATTAAATCAAATTCTACATATTCATTTAAAGCTTCCCTCTCTTCCAAATCTTACAATAGCATCCAAAATATTTTTTAAATTACATTTCCAGGATTACTTTTTCCTAATTTTTACCAGTCTCACAATCAAAAGTAATTAAATCAAATGCAACTTTAGTTTTGCCTTAAATTCAGAAAATCAAACTACTTTGTGGAAGTTAATTCTAGTAGATAAATTTAAGGAATACACAAAGAACTCAACTATTCACATGAATTAAGGAGTCAGTAATATGTGATTTAAATAAAAGAAAATAACATAAGCCAAAAATATTTTATATATTTTTATATATTTTATAAATAAATATTTTATTTATAATAAAATATTTTTATATAATATATATATTTATTTATAAATAAATAAAATATTTTATATATTATATAAGGCTTTAATATTATATAAGGTTTATATATTATATAAGGCTTTAAATATTTTATATATATATATTATATATATTATATAAGGCTATAGATCACCTTATGCCACTATTATTCTCTACAGTACAGAATTAAGCTGTATTCACTGTCCAAACATCTATAAAAATTATGTTAATGAGTTCTTAAGTTATAACTCTTAGCCTTCCAATATTCATCATAGTTAACAGTTAACAGTTTATGCAGATTCACCTGTAAGTTAAAAATTCTTTACATTTAAAAAAAGATTATATTCTTTGTAAAGTAAACTTACTTTATAACTGAAAATAATGTTCTGTATAATTGGGTAAAAATTTCATTGCTGTCTTCCAACTCAAAGCATATGTTATATGACTTGACCCAAGCAATGTTCTAAAAATAAGACATAAAAAAGGAAAAGGGTAAAATTTTAATTAGTAAATATATACAAGCACAAAACCCAGTTTAAAATGTCATCTCAAGATAGAATATATTGCTTACCTCAAGTAAATAAAAATACCTATTGAATTGTGGGCTCTTTGTATCCTCTAGCCCCTTCAACTGCCTTGTTATAAACATAAATATATCCTTTAAAAAAAAAAAGACAAAGTTTTGTTTAGATTATGAAAATATCCACTAAATTCCTAAAGATAATTCAGCACTCATGTGTATCTATCATGATAAATTGTAAAGAACCAGTTTAAAAAAATTCTACTTGGCTGGAATTTTTAAAATGTGCATCATCATGAAATCACCAAATATCTTACTGCCCTTTAAAGGAAAACGGTAAATCATTTACTATGATCTTAAAGTAGAGAAAGAAAAACACCTTACTGTAGGTTAAAAAAAACAGACCTGAAAATGGAGTAAACTAAAATTTATGCTGTCATTAAAACAAACAGGTTGCAATGACTGAGAGCTGAACTGATCAGGTTTGCTGGAATAGCACTATATATGGTAATTATATAGCAAGAACATGGTTTAGGAAACTTGAAATTCCAAAATAAAATCACCAAGTGAGAAGACAATAGATTGCAGAAGCTTAGAAATTTAAAAAAGACCCACAGAAGTTAACTCGTCAAGCTTCCTACCTTGTCATTATAACTACTTGTTCTTCCCTACCATTTATCAATCTATCCCCATCTCTTGCTTTCGGTTTTTTACTGCACACCCCTTTGTACCTGGGTAAAGATAAGTTCAATATCACTTTGAGTCAAATTTTTATGATGATCGTTTTTGAAAAATTTGGAAAAGGTTAAAATTATTAAAGCTAATTCTACAAAGGAAGCATGCTAATCAATCAAAAAGAAAAAGATGTTTCCCTCATAAGTAAAACGATAAACAAGCGTTTCTTAAAAGGGAAGAAATAGAATATGCAGATTACTGAGTAGATTTTCAAGAAAAATACTATCACAAGTACATCCTTCAAAAATGGTTACTTTAAAAAAAGGTACAGTTACTTTGTTAGTAGTACTGTATAAAATATGTCCTCCATGAACGAACCTTTTCTGGTTCGACTAAGAGAGAACAACTGCTGTACTGAATCTACCTGGAGATGGAAAGACAATATTCATTGATCATCTCTCTAACAAGCACTGACCTAAACATGAAGCTGGGTATATAAAAAGAGTTTTCTGATGACAATAACAAACTGACAGTGGAAAGGTAAGGATCAAAGTGTCACAATTTTCTATTATTACTACTGTAGACAAAGAAAAATACAAACTTGATACTAACCAAAACAGAGTGAAAACTATTCTATAAGTATTCAGAAACACCCTCAAATAATTTTTAATACTACCCCAATAAAAGAGAAAAGTGGCATTTAAAATAAGAGCCAAAAAAATTGACCAGAGGGGGAAAGCGGGTGGGGGGAGGAGGGGTGGTGGGATGAATTGGAAGATTGAGATTGACATATATACACTGATATGTATAAAATGGGTAACTAATGAGAATCTGCTGTATACAAATAAATAAATTTAATTTAATTTAAAAAAAAACTGACCAGAAAAAATAAAATACTTAAAAATTTTAACTAGATTCTAAAAACTCTAATTTAATCATACCTCTTCAATATTCTTCTCAAAAACTGTCCTATTATTAATAGAAAAGATTTGTAGCTATTCTTTTGGGAGGACTTTCATTACCCCAAAGCCTTGAGACAGATCACTGATAACGCAAACTGAGAAATCCACAAGAGAGGTAGAAGAAATCATGTAGCAGCACTCTTAAGTTAGACTTCCCTCTTCATGCGAATGCCAACAAAACATCTAGTGAGGAAGAGCCACAGCCCACAGTCAACCAAATACAATTACTCCTTAAACCAATTAAGTACCTCAAATTAAAGGTTCACAATTAGAAATCAGGATATACACCTGGGTACACAACTCCACAGGCCAGCTCATATTATCTACTTTAAGTCTCTAACCATTCTCAAATCTTACAATTCAATTTTACTTTTAGATGACAAATATTGTCCCCTACCTCCCCCATCCTAAGATATATGAAACAAGCATGTCCACAGCAGTTTGGGCATTCCTTACTGGAGTCTTGGCTGACTTGATCAAATGAGCAGGTTCCTCACTCCAGTTTTTAAGAAGCAACTCCCTGAGTTCAAGAACCGAGTCTGGGTTGTTTTTCACCAAGGTAAACCCAGTTCCTGACATATAATAACTAACATCAATATTTGTTAAATGAAATAAACCTAAATTGTCTTTTTGTTCCATACTGGGTAATCTTCCTAGGGACTCATTTCCTAACCGTTTCCCCAATTATCTTTTATTATTGTTGGCTTTTCTAATTTTCTTATAACTTGCCTCATTCAATAAATTTTTGCACCGCTCTACTTATTTTCATGCTTTCTGCCCACTGGATTAATCATGCTATTCTCCTTCTTTTCTCATCTTTTAAAAATTATTTCATTCACATGCCTTTACTTACAACTACCATAACCAAGTACTAAGTGTGCTTTCTACCTTTCATTAAAATTTTGTTCATTGTATTTTCTTCAAAACAATTCACATCACACCTTACATTAAGTGAATTAGGATTCATATATTATAAATTCAGACTTACACTAGATACTGTGTTTTAAATAATGAACATGGTCTTCAATATGAATTTTTAAAAAGGAAAAGCAAGTGTCCCCAACTGATACTGAAATACCACTAATGATGACATAATATAAAAAGTATAGGGAATTCCCTAGCGGGCCAGTGGTTAAGACTTGGCACTTTCACTACTGTGGCCCAGGTTCAGTCCCTGATCAGGGAATTCAGATGCCATAAGCTGTGTGGCATGGCCAAAAAAAAAAAAAAGTATAGAAAATACTTTACTAATCAACTTCTTATTCTGAAGATCAGAAATTGTTTTACAAAATTAAATACTAATGGGGGGTAGGAAATTCTACAGAAAACAGAAGTACAATAGTTTAACAAAAGACTGCTGCAGCTAATGTCAAAGAATCTAAAGAAATAATCTAAATACTTTAATTCCCATTTTAGAAAGATAAAGTATCAGTCAATCTTGGCAGTTCTTTTAATCAGTACTTGCCTTTAATTTATCAGGGGATGTGTAAGGAGCTTCAGGAGCATAAATCCTAAAAATATCAGCAAGGCAGCAGGCTACCAGTAATCGAACATCTTTATCAGGATGCTTGAGGAAAAAATCTGAAGCAAGATGTAAAGCTAGGTTTAAATAGAGCTCCTTTTCTTCTTCAGAGTCCTGGTCCATATCCATGAAAGTTTTCACAACCATCTATATAAAAACAAAATAATCAAATAATGAAATCCTCCATGTAAAAATATATTCATTTGAAATAAAAGCCATATTAATTACAAAGGTTAACTTCCAATAAATACACTTTCATGTTTCCCCTAAAAGTATCTATCTGAGAGAACAAGACCTTTCTGAACTATAGGGCAAATACAACTTTTCTTTAAAAGACTAAATAAAATACTTTTCATTTACCCATCACACCTGCTAACCAGATTTTAAAAGTTTAAAAGTAGCTTAACATAGTACTTCTAGTCTCACTTTTACAACACTGAGCTAAAAAAGAATATATAAACAGATTCAAGAAAGGATGACAAAGATGAATCCCTAAACATTAAAAAGCTACCATGAAGTAACTACTGTAGCATCCAATTAAATATTTCTTGTACCACAGTTAAAGACAATATGAGATGGACAATTCATTAGTAGGACTCAATGGCATGTATGGAGTGAGCAGAAGAAAGCAAACACTGACATAAAAGAAGTGGGATGGAAACAACAATGGTGAAAAATCATATAGTTTGAATTCTGTGAAGAGCTTTCTCTAATTTTAGTATCAGCAGTCACAAGGAAGCCTCAGTCTGTACTATTCCTACTTCACATAAGACTTGACAAAATTGCTGAACTCGTCAGGGACATTTAAACACAACTCTAATGCAAAGGTGACAACCTGGCATCCACTAGGTGGCGCTACAAATACTAATCAACAAGTAGGGCTGGGCTTGGTCTTTGAGACATAACTGCATGGATTTCCACTCTGCTGTAGAGTTAGACTTCTGAGTAATGAATTGTCCAATGTATTACTGAATTCTCAGAGCAGCTGTGGGTAACAGTGTTCCTCACAGAGCAGACCCTCAGTTCTACTACACCAGAGGCCAGAACCATCAGTAGACTAATCTTTCCAGTCTGACACTACAATTAGTTTAAGGGTACAATGTCCAGGGCTACTCTCCTAACTTTTTAATTTTATTACTTTTAAGATATATGCTTTGATGGCTTTGATGTATTATGAAAAAAGACAAAAAAAAAAAAGCTATATGCAAGGAACTCTTTCTTTCCCTGGAATGGCTTCACAAGAGTGAGAGATTCAGTATATTTTGAATAAAATGTTATAAGAAATTCTAGAAATTACATAAACAATGACACTTTACATATTAGCAAGTTTTTAAACTTATAAAACTTATACCTGTACTTGTACATATCAAAAATTACCATCATCCCACATTAAATCCTTCCTATATTTCTCCAAGACGGTTGCTATAAACAGTAGGCAGTGTAAATCAGGAAAAAAGAAAGAGAAGAAAAGTAACCAGATTATTGCTGAGCAGAAATGTCTACAAAATAATGAAAGCTTACTACAAGCACTAAATGTGAGCACTGTGGAAATCATTCCATCAAAACTATCAATAAAGTTTATTCAAGGGCTAGATAATGGGACTTCCTCAATACTGTGACCAACTCAAATGGGTGTTATCAAACTCACGAATAACTCATATGAGTCCTCTAAATTAAAAAAGATGTCTGAGAAAATAACATCCATAAAAGACACTAAATGCTAAATGCTTGTAAGTATATCTCTGTGTTTAATGTTCATTTCTTAGCAAACAATAAGAGTGATATCATTGCTGAAATAAATCTGAGGAAATAAATGTATTCTTTCTCTAAAAACTTAATAGGTCAAGAAAATCTAAATACATAGAAATGAAAAATTTCATATCTAGAGTTTGTAGCTTAACCATTTTTTTTTTTTTTTTTGGCAGTATACGGGCCTCTCACTGTTGTGGCCTCTCCCATTGCGGAGCACAGGCTCCGGACGCGCAGGCTCAGCAGCCATGGCTCACGGGCCCAGCAGCTCTGCAGCATGTGGGACCTTCCCGGACCGGGGCACGAACCCGTGTCCCCCGCATCGGCAGGCGGACTCTCAACCACTGCGCCAACAGGGAAGACCTGTAGCTTAACCATTTTTAATAAAATATACACAGTTCCCAGCTAGATATAAAATCCACATATTGGTAAATTTAATCTGCTCAAAGATGTCTTTTGCTTTGAATAACAAACACCTTATATCTGACATTCTAATGCTTTATGCACAGGATATAATACTAAGACTTTATGTGAAACTTACAATAGTATTAGGGTCTTTTTCCTCTAATAAATAAACCATGCAACAATAAAGTAGTACTTCAAGGCTCCTGGGCCTTCAATGATTAATTAAGGTAAGTCTTTTACACTTGAAATACTGGTAAATATTGATAATAATATAACAAGCAACATGTCTAGGTAGATACAACATTGAACTGAAAAAAATGCTCAAAAATAAAGACCATCTGAACTAATGAGCTTAACAATCTTCTTGGCCACTCTGCTCTTTTAACCATTTTAATCACGGAGACTATCACTGCCTCGAAGACAAAGATGAAATATTATTCAAACAAATGTGAAGAGAGTCTAACCATAGAGTAACTGCCTCACGAATGGAAGTTCACCATCAGTCTTGACTCACTGCTGTACATCAGAAGCAGAGAGCTAAAAGTAAAGCTCTTTAACCTACTTTCAAAATACAAGAAAGTAAAATACAGTCTTAGTATTCAGTAGAATTAAAATTTCTTTTCTCAAATTAAAGTGGTTGCTTTTATAAAATAAATGAGATATAGGAGAAGGAGACAACTTTCTAAAGATAATAATGAGTATAAGCGTATTGTGGGTTTGTTCTTTATACCCAAGTATAAACAGCCCTAGAAAATGTAAGCTTCACCTTTCTAATTGCACTCCCATTAACAATAGCTAAGGAAACCCTACAGTTCTTTATCTACTCCACTCTCTTAACTCCTAATTACAGCTAATTAGTTTTGGCCATGAGACATTTTCTGCTTTGATTTGCTTGAAGTTGCCCTAACAAGATACAGCCCTATGTGATTTCCACAGGTGTCCTCCCCCAGCTCTGCTTATCCTAAACGGATGTCCAAAGGACGTAACCCAATTTTACTCACCTTTAACCGTCTCACCATTTCCTCTTTAGATATTTTATCTGAGATTTCCTTGACACCAGGAGGATAGGTAATTTTTCCATCATTGGTCCTTGTCTTTGAATGAGCCATGATGGAAATATCTTTACCCCTAAAATGAGAAAACTATTAGATGCAAACCAAAAAATAAGTATCAACAACATTCATAATAAACATGAAAAGGAATCTCTCCCTACAAAAAATTATAACTACTTCCTAATTTATAGTAATTCACTTATCTAATTAATGAAAATCATTTTACTGAATATTTCCCCAATTTTTAAAATTTTATTTTTACTTTCATTTCCATTAGTGGCAAGCTAGGTTATTTGCACTGACCCTCCAACAAAAAAACTCTAAGTGATTTTATTTATTTATTTACTTACTTATTTACATATATATAAAATACACACAGCATTTTTTTTAATAGCACCACAAATTACTTGGGCCAAAATCTAAGGGAATTCAGGAACCCAGAGAACTAAATGGAACTTTATATCCACTTACACCCTGAAGGCACCTGCCAACCCTGTCAAATCCAGAGTTCAGTTTTGGTGATCTTATGGAAAAAGAAGGACAGAGTCCTGTCAAGGAAGAACATCAGAGACCCTCCTGACATTAATGTAGAATATTACCCCAACCCAAAAAAGATAATACCTGCAAAGGAAAGAATTAAACCAAGTCAACATGTGCCCATGCTGCCATTACCACCCACAGGGACAGCAGAGAAGGCTGCCTTGGTATTAAGCAGAGCAAAGTAATAGCAGATACAAGGGAGGAACAGCTAATTAGTTTTGGCCATAAGCCTACACATTTGCTGAGGTTCACACTGCCTACGTAGTCCAGAGAACCTCAATACAAGAACTCAGTGACCCTCAACTGGTAACACCCCCATAATATAAGTACATTCAAGCCCTCCTAGAGGAGCGCACCTTCATGCTACACTTCAAATAATCCCCATATGATGTTTCTAGGAAAATAAGCATTATCAAGTCAAAAATAACCAAGCATCTAAGCAAGCAAGGTACAATGAGCAAGAACCAGCAGAAATACCAGACCCCCCAAAACTTCAAATATTACAATCATCAAATGGATTATAAAACTACTATACAACTGTATAGTAGCCCTTGAACAACATCGGTTTGAACTGCATGGGTCCACTTATACACAGAACTTTTTCAATAAATACTACAATACTACACAGTCTATGGTTGGTTGAATCCATGGATGCTTATAACAGTGAATACAAAGGGTTAAGTATAAAGTTACACATGGATTTTGAACTGCGGTTGGGGGGGGAATCAGCACTCCTAACCTCCATTAGTTCAAGGGTCAAATGCATTTATAATTTTAAAGAAATAAAAGATAAGTCTAAAAATCTACAAGGAATAAAAAAATTATACAGTAAATTAAAAGATATGAACAAAAAAGACCTACTAAAAATGAAAAAATACAAAAATTGAAAGTAAAAGCTTAATGGATGAGTTTATTAGCAGATTAAGAAAAGCTATGAGACTTAATGAGCTACAAAAGATGTCCGAAGAAATTATCCAAAAATACAGAACAGAGAAACATAAAACTGCAATACACAAAAGAAAAAGTAAAATAGCTTAACTTATGATTCATGGGAGTACCAGAAGAAGAGAAATAAGGCAGAGGCCTCTCTATGAGGTGAATATCATAAATACCAATTCACAAATTCAAGAAGCCAAACAGAATTAAGTTCAAAATAATAATTCAGAAAAAACAAACAAAACCTTATAGAAGACATATTACCTTCAAAGGAACAGTATTTAAACTAATAGTGACTTCTCACTAGCAACAATATAAACCAGAAGACATCAAAATGTCACCCACAATGTGGTTAAAGAATATAATTGCAAAGCTGAAGTTTATATCCAAGGAATATAAGTTTTAGGAATACAGTGAAATAAGGACAAATGAGCCAGACAAAACTTGAAATGTATAATAAGTTACTATATATAGTACTTAGAACAGTATTTAACATATATCAGTATATTACAATATGGTATATATGGTGTACATACAAGATTTTTAAACTTCAATATAGAGAGATTACAAAAATTTTTTAAATAATGATATGAGATACTGAAAGTAAAAGGATGGAAAAAAAGGATGCAAACACTAAACAAAATAAAGCACTTAGGCTATTAACAAGCATAAATAAGTAGGCCCCAAGATACACTCCTTGGTATTTTACTCAACGGAAACACATACCTGTGTCCACTACAAGACACAAAAATGTTCATAGCAATACCATTCATATTAGTCAAAACAGAAAACAAAAATACCTATCAACAGTGGAATGAAGATACATTGTAGTATAGTCATACAATGAAATACAACACAGTTATAAGAGTGAATAAGCTACTGCTTCACACAATATGGATTAACATTACAAAGAAAGTTAGGTGAAAGAAGCCAGATATAAAACACTATACATAAAATATGACTACATTTCCAGAATTCAAAAATAAGGTAACCTAGCTGATGATGTTACAAGTTAGAATAGTGAATTCCTTTGGTGGGAGATGTAACTTGAAAGAGGAGTAAGAGAATATTTCTTGGGTACAGTTAATGTTCTACTTATATATCTGGATGCTGGTCACACTATTGTTTTCACTTTGTATAAAGTCACAGAGCTAGCCATTTATAATTTTTATACTTTTCTGAATTATGCTATACTTCAACAAAAAAAAAAGAAAATCTCCAAACATTTAAAAATGTAAAGTGCTTTCTAAGAATCAATGAATCAGGGGTAAAGAAAAAAAAATAAGCGTAAGATCAACAAAGTAAAAAATCACAGGCCAATCTTACAATTTTCGACATAAAAACATTTAAAAATTTAGACAAACTGGAGAAAATCTATACCTTACCAAAAGTTACTCAAGAAGAAAAAATGCCACCAAGAAAGAAAATCAATAATCAATAAACCTTTCCACAAGGACAAATACCCAAGGCTACATGACTTTACTAATGAGTTCTACCAAATAACTGAGGAAGAAATAATTCCAATGTCATATAAATATTTCCAAGGACTAGAAAACAAGGGAATCCTTCCCAACTAATTTTATGTAACTAACTAGCATAACCATGATACTAAAACCCAATGAAAAAAATAAGAGAAAGGAAAAAAAATCACAGACCAATCTTTTCTGTGTTTACAGATACAGTATTTTTAAATAAAATATTGAGAAACCAAATGTAGCTACATATAAAAGACTGGGTTTAATCCAAGGAATGCAAGGTTGAATTCATCATATTTACAGATTAAAAAAGAAAAACCATGTGATAAGGTCAAAAATGAAGAGACAATGATAAAAATTCAACATCAATTCTTGACTATAAAACAAAATAGAAGAAAAAGCTCAACAAACTAAAATTTATATGAAAGTTTCCTTTATCTGAGAAAGGTAGGGTGCTATAAACACCCTACAGCATAAATCACATTTATTGATGACCTTTTGAAAGTGTTCTACTTGTTTTCAGGACCTGTAAAAACATACCCGCTATCATGACTTCTATTTCACACTGTAATAGAGATGCTAGTCAACACAGGAAGAAAAAGGTATCCAGTATAAAGATACAAAGTAAGGAACAAAACAGTCAATACCTGCAGATTACGTGATTATGTATACAGAAACTCCAAAGATTTATAGATAAAACATCAGAATTAATAAAATTGAGTTTAACAAGGTTGTAGAGTAGAAAAATCAATATGCAAACATCAATGACCTAGAGCTAACAAAATACTTCACCGCAAAAGACTGAATAATTCCTCTCAAAATCAGAAACAAGACAAGGATGTCTGCTGTCACCACTCTTATTCAACATAATACTGGAAGCCCTAGGCAGCACAATATGGCAAGGAAAAGAAAATAAAGGCATACAGATTGGAAAGGGAGAACTAAAATCATCCTTACTTCCAAATGACACGACTGTCTACACAGACGATGCCTGGGGAATCTTAAAAAAACAAAAACTAGTTCATCAAGATTACAGGATATATTGGACTTCCTTGGTGGCACAGTGGTTAAGAATCCACCTGTCAATGCAGGGGACACGGGTTCAAGCCCTGGTCTGGGAAGATCCCACATGCTGCAGAGTAACTAAGCCCGTGCACCACAACTACTGAATCTGCACTCTACAGCCTGCAAGCCACAACTACTGAGCCCATGTGCCACAACTACTGAAGCCCACGCACCTAGAGCCTGTGCTCTGCAACAAGAGAAGCCACCACGATAAGAAGCCCACGCATCGCAACGAAGAGTAGACCCCAATCTCTGCAACTAGAGAAAGCCCACGCACAGCAACAAAGACCCAACACAGTCAAAAATAAATTTTTTTAAAAAAGATTACAGGATAGAAAGATCAACATAAAAAATCAATTTTATTTCTATATACTCCCAAGAAACAGAAACCAAAGTTAAAAGCACAATACTACTTTCAATCACTACCCTCCCATTAATAGAACGTTTTAGTGCAAACCTAACAAAACATATACAGAAAAAAAAAAACATATACAGGACTGGTATGCTGAAAATTACAAATCACTGATGAAAAAAAAACACAGAAGATCTAAATGAATGGAGAGATATACTATGTTCATGGACCGAAAGACTCAAGATTCTTTCCCAAACTGATCTATGGATTTACGGATTCTAACAATATCCCCGCAAGATTTTTCATAGAGACAAGCTTATTCTAAAGTTTACCTAGAAAGACAAAGGAACCAGAAGAGGTGAGCTAATTTTAGAATGAAGTGAGAGGAACTCATTCCACTAAACTTTAAAATTTCCTATATAGCCAGAGTAAACAAGACAATGTGAATTTGGCAGAAGAACAGACACACAGATCAATGGAACAGAACAGACAACCCAGAAAGAGATCCACACAAGCACGTCCAACTGATTTTTTTTTTACAAAGATACAAAAACCACTGAATGGAGCAATAACAAACTTTTCCACATATAATGCTGGAGCAACCGAATGTAAAGACTAAAAAAACAAAATAAAACAACGACCTAAATACCTCATACTTTTTTTTTTTTTTTTTTTTCGGTTTTGTGGGCCTCTCACTGTTGTGGCCTC